CATTTACTTAAAATTTATATATATGATGCAATAATATGACAATCATTATTAGTTTTTTTTTTTTAATATTCCAACATAGTTATCCACTTTACTTGGGCCAAGAAAATTTATTCATTATTGACGAACAAAAGTGAATTTTTTTATGATAAGAAAATCATAATTAATTATTATCTGAAAGTGTTCAATAAATAAATTTTATTTTTATGTAATAGCTCGCAAATTACATAGGAGGGGTAAATTACCGCAAATTATGCCATGGAATCGTGTTCACCGAGAATGGTGAACACAAAGCAAAACGACGTCGTTTTTAGGCAAAAAATAAAAATAAAAAATCGCGGATGTGGAGTTAACGGCGCGCGTTTGATCAAATTATGAATTTTCTGTTATGAGATTATGAATTTTATGAAAATTCATAATCTCATAACAGAAAATTCATAATCTTATAACAGAAAATTCATAATCTCATGGTTCCAAAGTGAATGTGTAGGCATGGTTCCAAAGTGAATGTGCAGGCATGGATTCATAATTTATGAATGTCCGTGATTTCGGACGGGAATATGTAGGCATGGTTCCAAAGTGAATGTGCAGGCATGAATTCATAATTTATGAATGTCCGAAATTATGAATGTAATGAAAATTCATAATCTCATAACAGAAAATTCATAATCGCATAACAGAAAATTCATAATCTCATAACTGAAAATTCATAATCTCATAACAGAAAATTCATAATCTTATAACAGAAAATTCATAATCTCATGGTTCCAAAGTGAATATGTAGGCATGGTTCCAAAGTGAATGTGTAGGCATGGATTCATAATTTATGAATGTCCGTGATTTCGGACGGGAATGTGTAGGCATGGTTCCAAAGTGAATGTGCAGGCATGAATTCATAATTTATGAATGTCCGAAATCTTTGTTCACCTCAAATTAAAGTGAAACCGCAAAATGTGAAAATAAAGAAGAAAAGTCACGCAATTAATTAAAAAAAAAAAAATAACGGTGTGCTAACACCGTTGGAACCGTGTTCACCATGAATGGTGAACACGGTTCCATGGCATAACGTCCCGTAAATTACACTAACAAGACATTATGCATGTTGTGAATTCAATTGCAAAGACATGGGTAAGAATTAAACTCCTAACTTTTAAATACAACAATCATGTTTTATCCATTTACTCATTATTTTCAGGACTTTTTTTCTTTTTTGTTCAATGTTCTTTTAGTTTAATTTATTATTATGGAATACATACAACTTTTTATCCGATGAATATTATATATATATATATATATATATATATATATATATATATATATATATATATATATGTCAGTTATCGTTGAAAAGTTTGGCCATAATCTGCGCATGCCAACTAAATAAAAAGACATAAATAAATAAATAAATAAATAAATAAATAAAGACTATAAAAGTAAGACCCAATCCAATTCTGACGGCTCTGATTCAAGAAATATTCCCTTTCATCTAAGGCAAAATAATATTCAACGATGTGCATGGTAAGACAAAACATTTCGAAGGCACAATAATGTGTTTTGAAAGACTCAACAATATGTTCTGGAAGACTCAATAATATTAACTAGAAGACATATATGTATGCTCTTGAAGACACAACATTATGCTCTAAAGGGTACGACGTGTGCTCTGTAAGAAGGAAAAATGTACTAAAAGACCAAAAATTAAAAAAAAAAAAAAAAATCAACTTACATACACAAAATTATCATAATGTCACCGTGTTTTTTTTTTAAATATCTCCATTTTGGACCCTTGATCTAGACTAAATTAATGGATAAGATTAAACCATATTTTTCACATAACTGTGACCCTTTAAACGAGAGGTATTAGGTTCAAAACCCAATGTGGTGGCTTTGACTACTTTAGTAGGTTGATAAGATATGTATAAACAGATACTACATTGCAATTGAGTCATAAGTATTAAAAAAAAAAAAATCATTTAGCTCTTCACATTCGCAAAATATTCTAAAACAATAGTTTTAAATATTATACTGATTCTTCACACTTAGGGAACCATCAAACCACTATGATTTAACTCTTGCACAATTTCTGTACGGCTAAAATATTGGAGCTCTCACTTGTTGCACACAAGGTTCTAACGGAATCAACGCATCTAATTAAAACATATCGTGTGAAAAATATTAATTATTATTAACATTTTTCTTTTAATTAATATGTTAAATGTTTGTTCCATGTTAAAGATTTCCATTATTATTTCAATTATAATTAATTAAGCTAGTGATCAATTCAACCCTGCCACGCTGGTGGGTGGGTGATCATGGGCCCTGCAAAAGTCACTAACAAATACAAATAAAATATTGGGCTGATGTTGAGATCTAATGGTGGATCAGCTTCCAATTAACAGGCCCATGAATGAGGTGGCTGGATAAGAACCAAGCAATGAACTCAACCACCCAGCCCCCCCACCCCCTCCTAATGGTGCTTATCTTTAAATCCCACCATTTATGAGGGACACGTGTCAATTTTCTAAGTAGAGAATGAGAACTACTTTCGGAAGATTGTGATTTAATTTTTTTAATTATATATTATTTCCTGTAATTATTTATATATTTATTGCTAATCGTCATCATGGTGTTGGAGATTGGAGAATGAGTTCAGAATATCCATTAGATCATGATAGAGATATGCTTGTTGCTAGAGATAGCAATTTTAATCCGCTCTGCAGATATTCACTTGAATTCACTTTACAAGAGTCTTTTTTTTTAGTGATAGTAGATGGTAGGTCGGTGGTGGGTTTTAAAAAAGTAAAGTCGTTGTGGGTCGGGTTGGATTCGGGTTCTATGTACAAAACTTGTCTAAAACCCCATCCGACCCACTATTTGTGTGTGTGTGTGTATATAGACAGGCTGCGATTTGAAGGGTCGAGTTTAGCATCTTGTCATTGAAACAGTATAAGAAAATAAAGCTCGCATGGGCTTAACTCAATGGTTCAGTTGGCAGTATTTGAGAAAAGAGACCAAGGTTCGAACCACGGCGGCGGTAGTGTGGGGATTATGACCAAAGTGGGCAGATCTCTTGTGCGCACCAACATTTGGCCCTATCTGTTGAGCCATTGAGTCTGAATAAAGTTGCGCATTCACTACTAATTATAACTTTTGATGTAGTGGTAAGCATTTGATCTGACAATTGATATTAGAGTCACTGACCCATATATTATTGAAAGTAGTTGAGGCTCGGAGGGGAAGAGATCGTTGAGCGATGGCTGACTCATTCATTACTATCTATAACTTTTGGCGTAGCACTTATTTAATTTTAAAGAAATTTTAAAGTGTCGATCAACACCAAAACCATGTTAATAAATTGATCTAAAAAGTCGTATAAAATATTATTTACATGGATATTAATACTATCTGGTACAATGTATCTATTATAGTTGTTTGATTAATGTCATAAGTATAACACAACATTATACAGGTGTTTATTGTTTTATATATTTATTACAAACACTTTTTTTGAATATTGACTCTATTACAATGTAATATGACTAGTATTTGACAAAAAGTCAATGCTCTCACCCTAGAGTTCAAACCTGAGACTTCTCATTTGAAGACCCACAACTATACCAATCGACCACAACTATTACAAGCATTTTTAAAAGTGAAAGTTTCTTGTTTCAAGAATGGTATATATTGGATGTTTCATTTTTAAAAATACAAATTTTTAATTGACCAAAGAATTTTGGATCCAAAAATAGCAAAAAAAAAAAAAAAATTAAATTAATTTTTTTTTAAAAAAAAACATACAAGTTTATAATTAAGCTTTTAAGGAGTGGGCATGCAATGATGCAATGCCATTTTATGCATTATTCTCACGCGGTTCTATGGGATTGGAAATGGAAATAAATTTTAAAAAGAAAACAAAAAAAAAAAAAGAATAATTCCAACATTTCCTTAATTGCCTTATTGGCTAGCTCTAATTTGGAAAATCTTTTTGCTGGAAAGGTTCTTTAGTATCTCTGCTTTTTGACCAATTTGAAAAAAAAAAAAAAAAAAAAAAAAAAAAAAAAAAAAACAACAACAACAACAACAACAACAACAACAACAAAAACAAAACCAAAAACAAAAAAACAAAACAAAACAAAAACAAAAACAAAAACAAAAAACAAACAAACAAACAAACAAAATAGAACAGAACAAAAACAAAACAATTATATATTTTGAAAATAACCTATTATTATTTTTTTGAAAGGAAATAACCTATTATTTAGTTATACACTTATACTATGTTCGTTGATTCAATTATGAGTTATTATATTTTCAAAAATGATGCTAGACTTGACTCTTGCCTAACAATTTCTTAGTTGTCAATATATTTTTTTATACTTGTATTATAGCTGGCGGTTAGAATCAGGTACTTATTCTAGACTACTTTTAACCAATAATTGTCAAAAAAAACTATAGTTAATGGCAAAGATATAACTTTATTTCTTTATATACCTGCATAGTAACCAACGCCAGCATCGGGTTTTGATAGCAAGATGCTGGATTTAACCTTTCAATCTCCATTGAACAATTATCTTATTATTTTTCCTTATCGAAAATATTTGTCAAATATAATGCCACACTAATCTTAAAATGGGTGGCTGAATAGGTGAAATATGATTCTTATACAGGAATGTTACGAGTTCGAGTCATACCAACACCCTTTCTTGGTTGAGGCGGTCGCACAAGGTCTTCCTAATGAAACTTACTTTTCTTGTGCGGTTTGCAGATCACTACACGAGTAACGTAACGTGTTACATTTATGGTACACTCATACATGAACCCTATCTTCCACATTGATGAATAAAAGTTGGTTAAAGTGGCACCAACACAAAAGAAATAAGGATATGAAGGATAATATTCCTCTCATAGGATTTCATTGGTGGAAGAAAGAGTTTGATATAATATGGAGTGATTTACATAATCTTTTTTGCAAGTAAAAGACGACAAAAAAACCCTCACAAATAAATTGCCCATCTTTCTCATTTGCAAACATTTCAAACACTTCTGCCTTTCATTTTCCTCTCTTTCAATTCCTCCCTCTTATTAGATAGCCAAAAAGAGAAGAAAAAACCAAACACAAAAATGGTGGCTAAAAACAGGTCGTCTGACCTTCCTCCTGGTTTTAGGTTTCATCCGACCGACGAGGAACTAATCATGTATTATCTCCGAAACCAGGCAACTTCCAAGCCCTGCCCGGTGTCCATTATCCCAGAAGTCGATGTTTACAAGTTCGATCCTTGGGAATTACCTGGTTAGTACATATACATATATAGACATATTTGTTATAGTATTATTAATCTCTCGGTTATAGTCACGTTTTAAAAGATAACTGGTGTAATGTTTAAGTGGAATTTTTTTTTTTTTTGTAGATAAAGCAGGGTTTGGAGAAAACGAATGGTATTTCTTTACTCCACGGGATAGGAAGTACCCAAATGGCATTCGTCCTAATCGTGCAGCGGTATCGGGCTATTGGAAAGCCACGGGCACGGACAAGGCCATCTATAGTGGCTCCAAATATGTGGGTGTGAAGAAGGCTCTTGTGTTCTATCAGGGCAAGCCACCTAAAGGCACCAAGACTGATTGGATTATGCATGAGTATCGCCTTAGCGACTCAAGATCACACCCGCCCAATAAGCAAAATGGATCCATGAGGGTACGTATATATGCTTTAGCCCCAGCTAACTTCTTTCAATTCACTGACTAGGCAAAAATTTCTGAACTCGATCTTAACTGAATTTTCTGGTGTGCAGTTGGATGATTGGGTTTTGTGTAGAATTTACAAGAAGAAGAGCATGGGGAGCACTAATAGAGCCATGGAGATAATGAAAGTTGAAGTAGAGACACAACCACAAGTTATTTCAATGAATAATTGTGAGCCATTGATTGGTAGTGGACCACAAGGATTGATATTGCCAAGGCCATGTTCATTAACACATCTATTGGAATTGGGTTACCTCGGATCAATTCCCCAACTCTTAGGTGACGAAGACAACAACAATAATTTCCAAAATTACCCAAATCTTGACCATCATCATCAAAGTCCATTAATGGGCAGCAGTAGTGGAAATGTCCCTTTTGCCATTGGTGAAACTCCTCCACAGCACCAATGGCAATATAGCAGCCAACAAAGTGGGTTCTCCAACCAGCCAATGCCAATTTTTGTCAACCCTGTTGCATTCCAGTTCCAGTGACATCAAGGGTAGATTTGACAATTCCAAGGTGGGAAATGTAAAACATCTCAGGGGATACATACATAGTTACATACTATGATCAAGATCAAAGTAGTTGCCGTCATCATTCGGTCATCATCAAGAATTGGATAATGTTTAGAAATTAAATGGAAATTAAAAGATGACCCATAATGTCAGTCCACTGTAATTTTAATTAATGTTCTACCCCGGTCCCCACGTGCTTGAGAAAATGTTAAATTAGTTGGTTTGTTGTGTTTCTACCTTGCTGAATTGTAATAAATTTTTGTTTTTATCTTCTTTCTCCACGAAGTTGCTTTTTCAAATGTGAGATCAGAGTTCGATCCCTAATTAAGGCAGTATTGATTTTTTATATTTCAGTAAATTGAGAAAATAATTATGAATAAATACTATATTGTAACAAAGTCAGTAGCACTCATAAAAAATAATTGTCTTGAATTGACTGACCCTTTAATAAACTAAAAACCAGCCTCATAATAAGTTAGATAGTTTTATCATTAGTTAACCAACTCAAATTGAGAAAGTTAATAGACAGTTCTCGCAAGATATAGTAAGTTGATTTGAAATCTTGTAATTATCAAGTTAACTACCTGACCAATTCAGTTGGTCCGATCCCCTTAGACCCCTTATAATATAATTATGATATTTTGATTTACGAAAATTAAAAACTTATCTCCATTATCTGAGGTGCACACTGAATAAAATGAGTCTTGTAATTCTAATTGCTAAAGGGTCATAATGAGGTAAGCCAACCTAAATTACCCTTATACTTATGATACTTAATTCAATTAAAGAAAGTCTGATCTATTCACACGTGGTTTATTATGGTCATCTCTTTTAATTTTATTTTATTTTTTTGTTTAAAACGATAAGGATACAATTATAATATTGTTAATCCAAGAATACAATTATTCAATTATACCATGAGGTTTGAATTGAACTCATAGGGATCACATGCTTTACGTGGTCAAAGTGTTAGAAAAATCAAATACTATATGCCTCTATGGAATTTTTCAACTTAGTCCATCTATTTACATTTTAATCAATTTAATTTGATACTTGTATATACTTTTTTAAATTAAAGGTTAAAAAAAACTAGTGTAGATAACTTTGATTTTATGCAAACGTCCGCATCTCTTATTCGAATGTATACTCTGGGTGAAGCCTACCTTATAATCCTAACCGGTAAAGGATTACAAGAAGGTAAATCAGTCTAAGTTGTCTATAATTGAGTGATTCAAGAACTTAAAATTGAACTTCGTGATTACTAAACCAATTCGACTACTAGAGTTGCTCCCAACTAGCATAGTTAACTATAAACATTAGTTGATGTAGCGCAGCTCTAGCGTATTAAAATTAATTGACGTGACAAAACTGCACTAACTTTTATATTTATTTTAAAATTTATAAAAATATTAAAGTAATAAACTATACAATGAAATTAAAATCAAATGTGAATATATACAATATGATTATGTAAATCATTTCTCAAACAAAATTTTTAATCATATAATTAATTATGATGTGATATGTCAAAGAATATATTTTATTTAGAAATACATATATATTAATAGAAAATGAGGGATGCATGCACGAGGGAGAAGGGAGATTGGAGGGGAGTGTGGTGTATGGACCACTTTAGCCTTGAGAATGGGAAGGGAGTTTGGTGCATGCATGGCAGCTTTAATTTATTCCACGACGTTGACATTTGGAAGTTGAAAGGGGCATTATGGAAAAGGATAAGTGTAATTATATTCTACAGGTAAATTTTTCGTCATATATTTCAATTTTATTGAGATAAAGTATAAAAGTTGTAATTCTTTTTTTCTTTTTTGAGTAAAAAGTGAGGTTCATTTATTTCTTATGGTTTTGTTGGAACTTGATCTATCATAAACGGGGTACAAAAGTACAAAATGGGAAAACGGAGATAGAAAAATAATAGCTTTATTATCTAAGGCACTAGCAGACTCAAAATAGTACTACAAAAGTCCGAGATATTGGCCCAAAACGACGGTCCAAACAATAAGTAACACAAGTTATAGGCCTATAGCCCTAATAATGAAATAGAACCTAAAATGACGGCCCAAATAATAAATAATACAAGCTATAGCCCTAATAATGAAATATAAATAACAACGTTACTACTAGGGATCGAACACATCAATGGACCAGAAGAGGTTTGGTGAGCCAAGAGATGATTTTTAACGACATCGGGCGACCTTCATTCTTGGCCACACATGTGTCCCCCCACTACTTTACTTCTGGCACACTCCTATGCATAAGTGGAGCTTCCTACATGCCCTTTAATATATAAGATTTTGAGTAGCTTAGTGGTTTGGAGCTCATTAGTCATGTTGTGTTATACTTGTAGTTGTGAGTTCAAATCCTATGTAAACACATCTTATATTATTTTGTTACATGCTTCGTTCTTCACCCCGAGTCTCATGTCCCCATCAATTTCATTTTTACTTTTTAGTGTAGCGTGTGTGTGTGTGAATATATATATATATATATATATATATATATATATGTATGGTAGTTCAAGTGCGGCAGTGTTGTTAGGTGCGGCGGTGCGGTCAATTGCAGGCCATTAGATTAGATAAATTCAATGAATCACATTCATCAATGCTTCTCCAATATTTTCGTGCACGTTCTCTCACTATGTGAACTACAAGGCTAAAGTCGTCATTGGGCACCGGAATAGGGCAAATTAAATTGTTTTGTGTTTTATTTGTGTAATTGGTGCATTATTAGCCTTACATTGGTGTATTTGTAAATTCCCGTTAGCGCCAAGTTCAGGTGCGACAGTCCTTTCCCGTGCGGTCAGTGCAGCCGCACCAATAGTTATACAAATATACACCATCCATATTAAAAAATGCACACCATAAAGCATGCACAAATTAGGTGATGCAATTAGGTACGCATCACCAAAATGCACCGTTAGGTATGAATAAAAGCACCACACGGTCAGAAATACACCATTAGGGGTCGGGGAGTTATATGGTGTATTTTTTGGGTGTGTTGTGTGTTTTTTGGTGTATTTGTGCATTTCATTGTTGTGTTTTTTCTTGACACTATTGGTGCGTTTTGTTAACACTGTTGGTGTATTATGTCAAGCGATCGCTATAAATTGTCACTATAATTACCATAACACCCCCCGCTTACCAAAATGCGCTTAAAATCTTCAAATCTTCAGTAATTAGCCATTGCCGTTAGATTAAACTGATTCAACGATACAGATAAAATTGCGCCGCCGCACCTAAGAAACTGACAGCATATGAGCCCCACACACACACACATATATATATATATATATATAGGGTCAAGTTCTCGTGCGGTCACGCACCATTAGGTACGAAAAATTGAACCATAAAGTGTATAAAAATGCATCATTAGGTGTGATGCATTTTTTTTTTTGTATAATACATTTTTTTAATGTATAATGTATTCTATTATTATTTATGTATACTAAATTACTAATGGTGCAATCTGCAATGACTGCACAAGAAGCCTGGTTCATATCAGGATTGATCTTAATTATTGGGTCGTATTTTTCATTCAGTATATTCGCCGCCACTGCGCCACAATTGTTGTATATTGATCTTTAAAAAGTATTTTCTTTTTGTGGATAAGATTGAACTATTCTTCCCAATAAAATCAAGATGAGACTGTCACGTACGTAGTACTAGATTCTGATATGTTATCTTCCTAGTTAAGGTTTAAGGTGGTGCATGTATGTACCCCACCAATCCTTACCCAATAATCCATCTATTCGCCGCGGTCGCATACCAATTTTTACATTTATCAATTCGATGGATTGGGTAAATTACAATATGTGTCTTAATTGATTTAATATATTTAAATATTAAGATATATATTTAAATATTAAGATTCAAATTCTGCATGAGCAGTTTAACTGGTCACAGAGGTAAAATTTTGAAAGAATGACCAGGGATCGAGTCTCCTCTCAAAGTGAGGCGGGTTCCTTGTGCGCAGTGAGCACAGGTCTAGTTTCTGGGTTCCTTGTGCGCAATGAGCACAGGTCTAGTTTCTGTGGATAGAATTAGGAGACAACGATATTTATAACGGTAGAATCCTAATTTTGTTAGAACTAACATTATTTCTCAAAATAAAAAGAAATCCTAAAAAATTATAATGATAAACATAAACAAAAGATGAGATAACTAAAATTCCTAAATCTAACTTACTCCTAACTAACAATAATTAATACGCCATGGTTTAATTAAATCCCAAATTAACTAACAATTACGGTTAGGTTTGTTGTTAAGTGGTGGGAAGCAGGCACAAAGATGATGCATGTAATACTACGTTTTCGAACAAATTAAATCAAACTCCATGCAAAGTTCATGATGAGACCTAAAACTATTCATTCGACTCACAAGAAACCCACATCTCAACCTCTCTACTTTAACTCCACCTTCGCATCTATTTATTATCTTAAATTCCTTTTATACATAAAGCTGTCTGTCAAATCAAACCCACTAAAAGTTAGCAGCATGGAAACGTTGGTGTTAGCTTTGGGTCTGATAATGTTTTGTTGGGTTTTTATCCACAGATTGTCGCAGAGAAAAGGCGGCGGCCCCAGAAGCTGGCCGGTGATTGGGGCGAGCGTGGAACAGATGACGAACTACGGCCGCATGCACGACTGGCTGGTCGGCTATCTCGCCAACTCCTACTCTGTGGTTGTCCCAATGCCCTTCACCACATACACTTATATTGCCCATCCCGACAACGTTGAGCATGTTCTCAAGACCAACTTTCCTAATTATCCTAAGGTTATGTTACATTTTCCCTTCTCCATTATCCATTATCCATTATCCATTATCCATACACTACGGGTGAAATTCGTTGTCACTACTGAAGTGTGTATTGGGTAAATCTTACATTATGACGTTAGCGTGTAAAGGACCGAGATAAATCAGTCTTGGTTGTCCATAACTGACTGGTTCAGACCACGAAAATCAATAGATTGCTTTCGCTGAAAATTACTCCCTCCGTCCCTAATTGATGGTTTCATTTGCTTTTTGCACGGTTTTGAATACAACATAACAAATGTTACTATTTTTCTAATTTTGCCCCTCAAAAGTAAGTGTTATTTGTATAAAGTACAATTGTACTTACCTTTAGAAATTTGAAAAGTCAAAAGGGTAAATTGGAAAATGTAGAGCGGTAGTTATGTTCAATTTTAAAAAGATGACATTATTTTGGGACAAACTAAAAAGGAAAGTAAAATTGATAAAATGAGACGAGTGGAGTAATTAAACTTGTAATATTGTGGTTATAAAGTAAAAAATTGACTTAGGGGTTGCTCTAATTTAATTTGGTGCTGATTATTCTATTTTCTCTGATCTTATCTGAGTATATCTTCCATCATTTTGCTTTTCCTTTGTCACTTTCATTCTCTTTTTTGACTACCGGCCCAGCTCTATCCTACTTTATTATTGTTGAAAAGAGTTTTGGCACTTTTAGTTCCATGTCACAATTATTGTAGTGTTATCTCAAATTTGGTAATTGATTTTTACTTTAGTAACAATTTTGGTCTCTCCAGTGAGCTATTGGAGTTGGCAAATTATGGTCCGCATAGTGATGTGTGAACTATAATAAAAAGTACATTTTTAATATACTAAAAGTACATTTTTTTGTGTACTGAATGTACATTATATAATATAATGTACACTCAGTACACAAATAATGTACATCTCCTAAATATAATGTACATTTTTAATATACTAAAAGTACATTATACAAAATATGGTTCACGCAGCTTGTGTGGATCATAATGATTGATTAGAGTTCCACTGTTTGAAATCTGCATTCTTGGCCATTATGGCCTTGTTTGGTAAAATATTGGCCTATAGGCCAATTTTGGCTTATTTGACCACTATTAATTGTTTGATTTAGTTAAAATATCAATATAAATATTTGGTTAATTAGCTTTTTGCAACTCCAAAAGGCTAAAATTCAAAAAGCTACTCCAAACAACTTTTTCAATTAGCTTTTTGAGAAAAGAAATTATACCAACAGCTATCAGCTAACAGCTAACTTACCAAACACTTTTCTACAATCAGCTAATGTTATCAACTATTTATACCTTCTAATTAACACAATCAGCTAACAGTTAACAGCTATCAGCTAATAGCCATTTTACCAAACAGGGCCTATATAAAGGCAAAATAGTCTTTGCAATAGTTTTTTTTTTTTTTTTTTTTTTGAATCCAGGCAAAATTTAGACGATTGGAGATGCTCTAAACAAAAACCTTTTTTCCTCTCTTCATCTCAACACCCAGCGAAGGAAGAAATTGGGAAAAAGGGTTTTTGGTACATTTGGTTTTGAGTTCGGAAAAATTATATTTTAAAAATAATTTTACCCATGTATAAAAATGAGAATTTGGTCAGGCCAGCTGTCTTACTCAAAAGAGGTGCCTACAATTTAGATTAAAATTGCTACTCAATTGAGAGTGTGGTACTAAAATTACAAATTTTGGAAGTCAATTGATCAAATTTGAGATGGCTACTATTACCATATATCATACATGTCAAGTCAAGTACTATATATGGTGGTGACCAAAAAATATAGTTTATAAAGACTTGTATGTTATCTCTAACTTTTCCCTTTGTCCTTTGCTAATTAATCTATTCTTCTTTTTTTCTTTCTTTCTTTCTTTATTTTTGACACTTTTTTTTGCTTTTTTTTTTTTTTTCCACTTTCAAGACTTTACTTTGTACCATCTGTTTTCTTTTTTGGTAAAATGAAAGCTAAATTATATTTGGTTGCATTAATTAGGGTGAAGTGTACCATTCATATATGGAAGTTTTGCTTGGAGATGGCATCTTTAATGCAGATGGAGAGCTATGGAGGAAGCAAAGAAAGACTGCAAGCTTAGAATTTGCTTCCAAGAACTTGAGGGATTTCAGCACTGTAGTCTTCAGAGATTATAGCCTCAAACTCTTCACAATTCTAACCCAAGCTTCTCTCCTAAATCAACAAGTTGACATGCAAGTAAATTGTTAAAAATAAACATTTTTTTATTATTAATTCTTTTGTCGGAAAAGCCCTACCGTGCCAAATAGTATCAAGTACAAGTTGTGTCAGTATTATCGGCACATGGTACTAGTACCAGGTACAACGATGTGTATTATTTTTGTTGTACCAAGTACTATTAGCATGCTCCAATAGTATGTACTCATTATATTTGGGTATTATATGATCGTACTTAGTATTATTGGGACCGGTGCAGTAGAAAGATTTGCCTTCTATACATTAATTTAATATGTTGGTATAAAGTCTAAACTTTTTTCTAAGTTTTTTATATTAGTTCTTATGTCGAAAAAGCCTACCATGCCAATAGTACCAAGTACAGCCTGTACCAGTACTATTGACACTAGTACTAGGTCTGAATATGTATTAGACACTAATATTAGGTACGATCATATATAGTATATATACCTGAATATACATGATACTATTAGTAAACGTGTTGATAGTACCTGTACCGGGTACAACAATGTATACTATTTTTGTTGTGTCAGGTACTATCAGCATGATTACCATTAATATGGTCGTACCTAGTGTCATTGGCATCGATGCGATAGAAAATCTGTCTTTTATACATAAATTTAATATGTTGGTATAAGGTCTAAACTTTTACCTTTGGGTTTTTTTGGTAGGATTTGCTAATGAGGATGACTTTGGACTCTATATGCAAGGTGGGATTTGGGGTAGAAATAGGAACATTGGCTCCAAATTTGCCAGAAAATAGGTTTGCAAAGGCATTTGATGCAGCCAACATAATTGTGACTCTCAGATTCATAGACCCATTGTGGAAAATCAAGAAATTTCTGAATGTAGGATCTGAAGCCATTCTTGATCAGAGCATCAGAACCATTGATGACTTCACTTACTCTGTCATCAGGAAAAGAAAGGCAGAGATTGAGGAAACTCAGAAGAATGAGAAATCAGTGAGTTAAAAAACTTTTTTTTTTTTTAATTTCTTCAAACCTTAAACTTTTTTTGCTGTTTCGATATTTAAATCGTCTGTATGATCGAGCAGATGAAACATGACATATTGTCGAGATTCATCGAGCTAGGCAAGGACCCCGAGAACAACATCAATGACAAGAGCCTTAGGGACATTGTCCTGAACTTTGTGATCGCGGGGCGTGACACAACTGCAACTACTCTTTCTTGGGCTATTTACATGATCATGACACACGAAGACGTTGCGGAGAAGCTGTGGTCCGAGCTGGAATCGGTCGAGGAAATGCGGGCGAAAGAGGAGAATGTTCTTTTGCATCAGTACAGTTCTGATGACCCCGAATCGCTTAACCAGAGAGCAATGCAGTTTGCAGGGCTGTTGAACTATGATACCATGGCGAAACTTTACTATCTGCATTCTGTTGTCACCGAGACGCTTCGCCTTTACCCTGCCGTTCCTCAGGTCAGGTTAAACTTTTAGCTGAAACGGGCCGGGATGCATATTTTTTGTTTGGTATCAGAGCAGTGTTGAGATTTTAGCTGAGACGGGAGGCGTCTTTGTTTTGTAGGACCCGAAGGGGATTTTGGAGGACGACGTTTTGCCGGATGGAACGAGGGTGAAAGCTGGGGGGATGGTGACCTATGTGCCATATTCAATGGGAAGAATGGAGTACAATTGGGGACCTGATGCAGCTTCTTTCAAGCCTGAGAGATGGCTCAAGGATGGGGTTTTCCAGAATGCATCCCCATTCAAGTTCACTGCATTTCAGGCAAGATAACTATTCTCCAAGAACTTATTAGCCATCTTGCTTTGAGCCAATCAGTTTATGGGTGGCCATGGGTCTGAGTCGGGTTCGAGTTCGACCCACACCCAATCATAATTAGTCCAGTCGAAAAAATTTCAGATTTAAATTTTTTAGGCCCGGAAACCAAACTGAAATATAGAGAACGTGTGCCGGATTCCAATCAGTACTAAATCATGTTCGAGTTACTAAACTCGAAATTTTGCTAGACCGAAAAAATTTTAATAGTCACGTGTTTGTTATGTCCTTTAATTGACAATTAGGTGTCAATTATTAGAAGTTGGCATTGACAATTTATACTTTGGATATTATGCTCGGGTATTGGGTATCCTTCGCTCGATACCTAAACTGATTTAAGCTATTTTCTACTCGGTTGAATTCAAGTCTGATCGAATTTTATATCCGAACATTCAAAATCCGGGTCGGATCAGAATAAATTTAGGGTTGAACCCAAAATATGCCCGCCCCTACGGTCAGTCATTGACAACCTAGACTTGTTTACCTCCTTGTGGTCCTTTGTCGGCTAGGATCATAAGACGGGACTTACCTAGTGCCCACCTTCAGATAGTGATTGTGAGTTACGCTTGTCATCCAAGAAAACTATTCCCCAAGAAGATGACACTCAAAACTTCAAAAAATCCCAGAAAAGTTGACATTTTTTCTTTTCTTTTTTGGTGCAGGCTGGGCCAAGAATATGCCTGGGAAAGGACTCAGCTTATCTGCAAATGAAGATGGCACTTGCAATTCTGTGCAGATTCTTTAAGTTCAAGCTGGTTGAAGGCCATTCAGTGGAGTATAGAATGATGACAGTTTTGTCCATGGCTCATGGACTCAAGCTCACAGTTTCACCAAGAACTCACAATCCTGCATAGTTCTGAAGCTACCTTGTTTTACCCTATACAGTAAATGTAATTGGTATGTAATTCAGTGGAAATAATATTTACTGCAACCCCATGCACATACAAAAATTACATGTTAAACTAATTACCAATTAAATTCCCCAGGAAATAATTTTAGGGGATGTGTTTGCGGTTCGTGAGAAAGTAATAAACGTGTTTGATATTACTCAAAAAATATGACCAATTTCTTAAAAAGTTAGTCCAGCATTTGGTTCGTTTAAATTTTTCGAGGAATACATTTTTTATTTTCAATATACATGCAAACAAACAAACAAAATTATCCTAAAATGCAAATATAACATTTAATTTTGCTATTGCCAAATGTATGGCATAACAAGTAAACATAGAACTAACACGTGAAATTGTGAATTAGTCCAAAAAATAGCTAGGCAATAGGGGTAGTTTCAAGTCAAAACAATACCTAGCTAGGTAAAATGTATAGATTAATCTCATCCATCCATCTAATTTGATCAAAGGTTAAAAATTAAGGAAAGTGCATATCGAACCTCTTTCTTTCTTTCTTTTGTTGGCTGTATATGGCATTTGGTAGTACACCACTATCATCCTAATCCAGATTTAGTTCGAATCGTGTCATCAGAATTTGATTCTTATTCAGACAAAATTCTTTAATATGCCTTATTCTTCATATGAGTCGTCAAACCTGGCAAATTATATTATGCACCGCGGTGCATAATCGATTATGCACCGCGCGTCTTTTTTTTTTTTTAAATGAAAATAAACAGTGTTTGTTTCCGCCGTTTCGCACCCTTTTGCAAAAAGTAACTCTGTTATTCAGTGTCATTTTGTATACACTGCAGTTTCAGTTCAACACAACTACAGTTTCATTTCGATATAACTATAGTTTCATTCGATATTTATAGACTCAAATATGTAAAAATGTTATTTAATTTTATTTTATATACACTAAAGTTTCATTAAAACACAACTACATGATCATTTTAATATAATTACAGCTTCATTGTATAATATACACTCAAATATGTGAAATGTTATTCAGTTTCATTTTATATACACTGCAGTTTCATTTCACTATAACTACAGTATCATTTTGATATAACTGCAGTGTCGGTTTAGATATACTATAGTGTCAGTTGGTGTTTAATGCACCAAACAAGCGGACTCCGTTAACTCTAACTGCGCCGTTTTTTACCGCGGTGCACATGCACCGCGGTCTATAATATAACGACTGGTCAAACCTCCTACCTAGCATGTAGTTGGATAAACAATTTGTTTGACTATATCCTGGACTCTATGAACTCATCCCTGGGCCCATGAGGTATATCTAGCCAATCTAACTTCAAGACTCAACATTAATCTGTAAACTTTTACGCACAAGGAATCCAACCCAAACTTAAACCGGCAATGTTTGTAGCAGAGATTGAACCTTCACTTTTTTTTTTTAATTAAAACAAGTCTTAAGTGAGACTTCTCACACACGACTATACTGAGCTCCTTTCCAGTAGCTTATCAGTTTCATCTCTTGTAACTTCCTCTTTTTTCTCTCATCGAATATAGTTATGCTATGTGAACCCAAAGGGGTAGCTCAAGCGGCAAAGGAGCTTCAATTCTTTGTAGATACGATCCTAGGAATAACTCGGGTTCAATTCCTACAAGTGACAATTTCCCTTGGGCTACCTCTCATGCCTCCCGGAACGAACGAGGATTAGTCGAGTAGACCCGGACCGCAAGACGGACGAGAGAGACCCAAAATTACAACGATCCCAGTTGGATTATTGCTAACACCTTCTCAGTCGAACCCATTGCACATTCTAGTGTAGTTTATAAATCTTTCATGTGATATATAATTTGCAGGCTATTACACAAGAACGGAATAGTCCAAAAACTAAAAAACTACAACATGTTTGTTTCACACAAGCAACTAACCTCAGTTGTTTCTCCAAAAAACAGACTGAGAATTGAACACAAAACACAGAGTTTTCAGTGAGCAATTATCTTCAGCAATCTAATGGCTTCTGTGTAGGGCAATGGCTGACAGCAGAACGAGCAGAAGAAGCATAACAATGGCGACGAAGGATCCAATTAAAGAGGCAGAAGTTCTCCGGCAGAAATCTTGAAATGGTTGGCATATTGCAGGCCAGTTTGCAGAGGAATTGCCATTGTGTGCAAGGTATACTATGCCTGCTGCTGAGGATGCTCCGGCTGTGAGAAGACCCATCATCATCTTCCATATATCAAAATTCAAAAGTTTCAACAATACATGTTAGTGGCACATAAATAGACATTACCAAGATTAATAAATAATGCATCTTTATTTAATCTCAGATTCATAAGTGTATGATGAAAGATAAAGGGCTAATTTGATTTAGAGAAAATAGCGTTTTTTCCTTCTCCCAAAATGTTGAATTCCTGATTCCAACCCGGATGTAAATCACAGTGACTCAATGATTCAGCAGATAGGGCTGAATGCAGGTGGGCACAATAGATCTGTTCACTTTGGGCATAATTCACACATTGCTGCCAAATATTGTCCACTAAACAATTGAGTTAAGCTGGTGCAGGCAAAAAAATAGCGTGTTTTTGTTTATATTGCCGGTCCTTCAATTTCTTTAAATAAGGTGACAGTTTTGGTCCCTCGCCAAGAAGACCCATGGGCTTTGTCAAATTTGTACTGCACCCATAGATCTTGTAAGTTAACATAAGGACAAAATCATAATTTACAATTTTAAACCATTAAAGTCTCTATTAACAAATTGAGAAACCAAAATTGTCACCTTGTGAAAAGAGGAACCAAACATATCCCTAGTGAAAAAAAAAAAATGGAGGGTTGATTAGTATGGAGTAATACTTATGTCCATCATTGAACTCGATCTATCAAATTTGCATAATTGCATTCCACTACTTGTTGATCTTGTTAGTCAATATAGGGACAAAATCATAATTTGAAGTTCTAACCCATTGAGTTTCCGTTAACAAATGGATAAACCAAACCACCACCACCCAAAAAATAAAAAAAGAAATAAAAAAAAATCCAAAACTGTCCCTAATGAAAAAATTGGAGGTCGGGTTAGTAATACTTAAATCAATACTCAACACAGACCGAAAACATTATTTCATATTTATATAGAGACGAAAAATGTTATTTTTTCCTTAATTTATTACCGTGTCCAAAAATATAAGCAAGATCCTGCTCTTTTCTGCTCTGGTCCTTAGAATGTGGAAAATGGAGAGTGGGAGTGAAAGAGCAAGGTAGCCACAGACAATGGCGCTCACGATCACGAACAGCCTTTTGTAATGCATGCACGGAAACAACAAAAAATATGGTTACAAAATTTTATCAGTTGCAATGTTTAATCTAATCTTTTCGCGAAAATAGACTATGGCCCTGTTTGGTAAAATGGCTGTTAGCTGATAGCTGTTTGCTGTTAGCTGATTGTGTTAATTAGAGAGTATAAATAGTTGATAACATTAGCTGATTGTAAAAAAGTGTTTGGTAAATTAGCTGTTAGCTGATAGCTGTTTGGTATAATTTCTTTTCTCAAAAAGCTAATTGAAAAAGTTGCTAGGAGTAGCTTTTTTAATTTTAGCCTTTTAGAGTTGCAAAAAGCTAATTAACCAAATATTTATATTGATATTTTAACTAAATCAAACAATTAATAGTGGTCAAATAAGCCAAAATTGGCCTATAGACCAATTTTTTACCAAACAGGGCCTATTATTTTGTTCGGAATTTGGTTGGTAACAACACTATTCATGTGCAATATTTCATTTTTAGGGAACACAAACTAGCTGATATTTTAATAAAAGAACTAAACATGGAAGACCTTTCTTTTCTTCAATGATAAGTTGCAAGTAGTCCTCACTTTTTTAAGGGATAGTTTAAGTGAGAGCATGTTTCATTCTAGCTAAAAAGTAAGAGTAGTTGATATATTCCATCCATTTGGATAGATGATAATTGAAAAATGAGGGAAAAAAAGGATTGGGTCAATTTTATAAATATTGTAAATTTGAAAGCTTACAATATATAATTATGAAATTGATAAATATCGTATTTATTTTATTTTTTATTTTTACTAAAAATCAACCATTGATAAATCCTGATGGGTGATTGTGATCAATCTTCACTTTTACGGAAGGATCATGTTCTCATTTGAACTCTCCTTAATATAGAGGAGGGTTAAGTAGAGAACATACTCTCAGGTAAAAAGCATGGTTGCAAAAATCGCGCCTAGGCGCTAGGCGCCCGGCCGCCGCCGCGAAGAAGGCCGGAATCGGCATCCTCCGCGGCCGGCCGGCTAGGCGGTCTAGGCGGCCGCCTAGACCGCCTAGCCGGCTGAACCGGCGCTTTAATTTTTTTTTTTTTTTTTTTTTTTTCTTTTTTTTTTTTTTGCGTTTTAAATTGCGAAAAGTTCAGGAAGGCATAACTTTTGACTCGGTTGTCCGTTTTGGACAATTTTTTTTTTTCAAATCGCGTATTTTTTTGAGATCTATCCACCGCAAACTGCCGAAGGTCCACTAATTTCTCAAAAAAATGCTTCTTTAGCTCTTAATTTTAGTTTTTTATGTATTTAGATGGTTTAAACAATCTTTTGAACACTTTTACAACCACTTTCGTAAATAGTTTCTAAGAAATAACTATGGTAACCCCCTAGGCGCTAGGCACCCCCTTGCCGCCTAGGGGGCGCCTAACGTGTTTTGCAACATTGGTAAAAAGTGATGATTGATATGATTTCTCTATTTGAGTAATTTTTTTTCTTGTCTGACCATGAGGTGTCATGAGCATGTCATAACGGTAGGAAGTACTTTTAAGCCCGTACCATACTCAGAACTATTTGAGTATGTAGATCAACTATTGAGAGATGCTAAAATATAAAGGGAAAATGGATGAGATCAGTTTTATGAATATTACAATTTTGAAGTTTATAATACTTTATAAAATTAACCTGATATTTTTTTTTTTACTAAACGCTCAATCATTAATTATAGAGTACTACTATATATTCCTATTCCCCCCCCCCCCATACTCTGCCCCTCTTGATCCATATGACATCATTTGATTGATTTGATTATTAACTATTTTTTAAAATTAGTGGTGGAGCCGATCAATTCATGGGCACCTAATGAATAAAATCGTAATTTAAGTTTTAATTCATAAGTAAACAAGAACTATTATGGGACTTGGTTTTCTCCATAAATCAGGACTTACTTGAATGTATCAAAATCATCATATTGAGCCTCAAACCGGAAGGACTGGATGATGAAGGGAAGTGTCTGGTCTGTCGTCCCCATTGCCACTGCACTTCCCAAGCTTCCAACAATGGCGACTACTCGTAAAATCAGGTCGATTATGGAGATTCCCCTTGCCCCTCTAGATGCTTCTCCACCGCCGCCCTCGGTTGCACCGTCGGCCTTCATGCTTGTACGTCGTACGTATTTTGCTAGCTCCGGCAACCACTTTGCCCTTCAATAATCCTGCAGGGTAGCTATTGAGTGAAACCAGTCTGATATTTTTCCTAGAGAAATGTATTATGCTATAATTAGAGCACAGGGTTGTAAAACACACACACACATATATATAGAACAATTATTGTTGGGGATGAAAAAGTTACTTGGTATAGTCCCACATCGGCTTGATCAACAAAAGATTGTGGGTTGTCTTAAATTGTGGTCAAATTTTTAGTCTTAATTGAGTTATCTTTTGTGTGGTAAAGTTAAGGTTTTAACTTAAGTGACACATCATTTAATTTGGTGTTTCATTATATTGAGAGTCTGGTACATATATAAAAGGGAATGGCTACCTAGAATAGATTTACGTGGTGCTTGATAAGATTCAGAGAGAATCTAGAAGAATTCGGAGTGGAAGCTATCCAAAGTGAAGTTGTATGATCGTTTGGTGGCGGCATAGGAAATGGTTACTTGTTGGTACTCGATAAGGTCCAAAGTAAAGTCGTTCAAAGGATAAAATGACTGCCTGGTGTCAATAAAAGTCCGCAATGTGAGTCATCTATAGTAAACCGCTATGGACATCAACTTCTCAAGGGTGGGTAATGATACGATCCCAATTTTCAATTAGAAACTTAGTGTTTGTGGTTAAAACCACTTTAAGGCCTAAAAAAATGTTCATTATTATTTTTAATTACAGTTGAAAGTGATCAATAACACTAAACAAAAGGCGTCACTAATCTCCGTCTATTTTTTTTTTTTAATTTGATAATTGACGAATTTATAACCACACATTAATTTATCAAATTATTAGATTAGTAATGTCATTTGGACCTATTCATTTATTCCTAGGTATAAATATATATATTCACCAATGGGAAGTGATTAAGGTGGGATGTTAGGTTTTGCTTGCGTCTAATTAATAAAGTAAACACCGTTTTTTACGTGTTAAGAATACCCTTAATTGATCCAACGTGCTGCATGTCATATTGTGATGTAACTCTATAGCCCTGCAACTCTGCAAGATCCTACCTAGAATTGAATATCTAACTTTCTACCTGCTCTATATGTATTTATTATATATGTCTATATAAAATGCTCAAGTTCAATAAAAAAATATATATTGATAAGAATCAAATTTGTGACTTTTAGATAAATAAATAATGCTCCACACACTAGATCATTCTTTTCGGAGAATTTCAAGATATTAGTTTTAATTTACTAAATAGATCATAATTATAGTGTTAAATGAAGCTAATTAATATTCAAAGAGATCCAAACTTATGATCAAAGTGTTGGGAGAGCTTCCTCAGCCTAGATTGGACTGAAACTTGAGTAAATAAGAAAATGTGTATAAAAAGTTAAAAACATCATTAGAAAAATTTACTTCAATTTGATGTCTCTCAAATAGAATGACATCATTGTCTACTAGTCAAGTTCATAGAAACTTTTTATATATATAGAAAAGTTCAAAGTCGTTACTTGAATGTGCGTTTTGGATGAAATTCAACTTGTAAGTGTAGCTGACAAAGGATCATAAGAAAGTAAACTAGTCAGTATTAGCGATAGCTGATCAGCGCAAGCTAAGAACGCTCAAGCATAACACTTATACTTTGCAATATAGAACTTGAATGTAAGATTTCAACTCAAATAAGAGATTCAAATGCAAATCGAGTTGTTATACCATGAACCAGGGTCCACTTGCAATGTGGACCCTGGGGCTAAACAACGTATAAATTGTGTATTTTAAGTATTGGAATTGTGAACTTCTAGATATAAATTGTGTTTCTAAGTCAAAACACATAACAACTGTAGAAGGGAATTTGTGAATACAATATAGGGTCATCAAATCCTAATTTGTTAATATTGTATGACTGTAATATTTGAAAGAAACTTGTGAATACAAAACAAGATAATCAATTACATATATGTTAACATCGTCTGTTCGTAGTATATAAATTTTAAATTTTTAAAAGGTGAATTGTGAATATTTAGTATGTAAATTATGAACATTTAGACCCAGGTAGATGGGATGCCATCAACACACAAAAAGGGCCATGGGCCTTACCTACCATGAACATCAGAAAAGCCCATAAATACAAAACTACTACCTAATCCACTCAGAGGATGTTTCGGAGATATCAAGAATGTAGTTTGGTCGGCCCAAATTCCATTTGTGTAACAAAAACGCAAACTTTTTTTGATTCCTCTTCATCTCCTATACCCAACTCCATATTTCCAGTAGCTTACCAGTTTCATTTCTGCTAACTTTATCATTCTCCTCTCTCATTTCTTCACTCTCCACCAAACTCTTCAAAGCCCTCCAGAGATTTCTTCCTTTTCCTGTAAAGGTATTTTTTTTGTTTTTACTATCAGTCACACTTTAAAGTTCTCTTCTTTCTCCTGATACATGTGGAACTTGAATTCTTGGGATTATGGGATTTTGATTTTATTATGCAAGACATTTGGTCAGATTAACTCATAACAGATCAAGAAACTCTAAACTTGTATCTCAGTAATTTGATGCTTGATGTTCATATCTTAACTATCTAGCTAATTAGTAATTACCATGGATTGGTATGTCTGTTGTTTATCTTTTATCACTTATCTTCAATTGAAAGAATGATCTGGTTCTTTAGTATTGTCAGAATCTATTGATTTGGGGGCAACCCCGGTTTGATAATCACAAGTTTCCAAATTTGACTCCCCGTAAAACTGTGTATTAGCTTTCTTGATTTTAGCTGATCCTAAGCTGGTTTACCTTTTTGTAGTCCTTTGCCGGCTAACCTAGACTGATTTGCCTCCTTATAGTACTTTGTCGGCTAACCTAGTTTGGTTTACCTTTTTGGAGTTCTTTGCCGGCTAGCTTAAACTGGTTTGCCTCCTTATAGTACTTTGTCGGCTAGGGTCACAAGGCGGGCTCCACCCATAACACACGTTCGTTCTATTGAGTTGTAGGCTTTCGATAATGCCATCTTGGTTGAGTTATTTGTGTGTGCAATTTCTCGTGCATTTGATCATATAGATATAGATTGATTGATTGAATTCTAGATGTTCTTGTATTCCTGTATAGAACACACAACATGTTGAACTCGAGCAATGATGAGAATGTGAAAGAACACGAACCCGTTGATGATTCACAGCGATCTCAGGTGGATGGAAATTCACCCGGGAATGATCCAAAGGTTTCTGAATTACAAGAGAATCCTAAGAAGCCGAAGGAGGTATGTAGGTTTATGGCTTGGCACTATAGTGAAATCGGGGGGTTATGATTATGTTTAATTGATTTTACCCAGGAGGAAGTAGTAAAGAAAAAGTACGGAGGATTACTAGCGAAAAAGCCGCCCTTGATATCCAAGGTGATTATCGTTCCATGGCCTTTGATTTCGTCGTGAATGCTTTAGATTCAGTTCCCCCGAACTCACCTGCATTATTCGCAGGACCACGAACGTGCTTTTTTCGATTCTGCTGATTGGGCATTAGGAAAGGTACGTCTGAGGTTCTTGTTAGATGTCTCCGGTTTTGGAATTTTAGTACGTTTGATCGTGTTTGGCTTGTCGATTATTCTTACAGCAGGGAGCTCAGAAGAGCAAAGGACCTGCAGAGGCACTTCGTCCAAAGTTGGAAGTACGTTTTCTGTTTAAAACACTCGCACACAAACACGATACCTTTGACATGTTGTTCCATGATTCTCGGGGAAAATGCACATTCTTGAATAGTTAGTTTAGCTGTGAAAACGGATTGCAAAACAATGAGGCGAAGATTTGCAAATAACGAGCTAACGTGATTCTAAACAGAACTAGTAAACGAGATGGGTTTCTGAGTTGAATATTTTTTTAAATGCAGCCCACACCGCACCAGCTAGTCCGTACAAGGCTTTCAGCATCCGTGCCTGCTGATGATGATGATGAAGGTACGCAAACCTGAAAACACGAGTGAATTTGTTTCTTGGCTAGTTTCAATTTACAATCTAAGATTACGCTCGATCTCTTGCCTGTTTCTCAGCGGATGGTGGAAATAGCAAAGTCGATGATCAGTCTGAGGAGAAAAGCGGGACACCAGATGCTAGCGACGAGAACGCAAGTCACACCGAGGTCCAGAACGAGCAGAGATAACGATGTGGTGAACACAGCCACTAACAAATCCTGCAAACAATGGGAGAGAATAATCTCTGAAGCAAATTTTTGTGCTTCTAACTGTGCCTTGTGGCTTCAGTCAAATTTAGTTCCCTCTACATTGAGTGTCCATGGATGTATTATTATTTAATAAACTTGCATTCAAACATATCTTTTTTGGGTGACATTACTCGAAACTGTGGTAAATCTTGCTTTGTGACCTTAGTCGGTAAAGGACCACAAAGAGATGAACTAGTTTAGGTTGTCCATAGCTGACCTACTTATACCAAGAAGTCTAAACTCGAAGGTGTGGTAAATTCTGCCTTGTAACTTTAGTCGGTAAAGGACCACAAAGAGATGAATTAGTTTAGGTTGTCCATAGCTGACTTACTTATACCAAGAAGTCTAAACTCGAAGGTGTGGTAAATCTGCCTTGTGACCTTAGTCGGTAAAGGACCACAAAAAGATGAACCAGTTTAGATTGTCCATAGCTGACTTACTTATACCAAGAAGTCTAAACTCGAAAGTGTGGTAAATCATGCCTTGTAACCTTAGTCGGTAAAGGATTAAATCATGCCTTGTAACCTTAGTCGGTAAAGGATTATAAAGAGATGAACTAGTTTAGGTCGTCCATAGCTGACCTACTTATACCAAGAAGTCTAATACGCTACTCTCTTTGAGAGTCAAATTTAAAAATTTGTCATTATCAAATTAACTGTCTGACCAATTTAGCTAGAGTTCTCCTCAACATATCTTATCCCATAAAAACTTTCTGTCCTATTAATCTTAAGTTCTAGAATTCTTGCCTAAGAGCACAAATCATTCCGTCTCAAGTTCCACTCTTTACATGTATATTCTGCGCACAAGGACATAGCACTCTGATTTGCAGAACCACACAGAACTTAGTCTTTTTTACATTATCCCGAGTTGAATTGAACTATATTCTTCAGTCAAAATGAAGTTTCCATCAGCCCATTATGTTAGAAAATCAAGAAGTCACATAAAATCCTTTGAATCTTAACTAGGGGGCAGAAAGATTTTTCTGGGAGAGAAAAGTTGTCTGTTTGTCTCTATATCTATCTTCCAAGAATCTGCCCAGAAGAGAAAACTGGCAAATTCTGCAGTTTCGCAGGCATGATTCTCCCCGCACGCTGTTTCTCCTCACTGAATCCCATCATTCCCCCTGCCAAAACATCAATTCCTGCAACAAGTTCATCAGCAAATGAGAAAATAGCTCCAAAAATGGCTCCAATCCTCAGGAAAACGCACAAGGACTCGCAGGAAAGCAATGGATTCTGCTTTTGCTGCAGCAGAAGGCGGTTTCTGGGAGCAGGCGGGGCGGCTCTCTTGCCCATTCGTGCTTCTGGTGCTTCTGATTCAACCTCCAATGACCCCAAGGTTTGATAAAATCTAAAACTCTTCTCTTGCTGAGATGCCATGAATCTTGATATCAAATGTTAAAGAAATTTACTTTCCTCTGAACATTAGGTGAATTTTGGGGTAAATTTTCTTGATTTCTGCATCCAGTAGTGATACATGTTCAAGAATTTGTAGGGTATGCAGTGAATTCAATCTTGAGTGAAAAATCTTTGCAAAGACTCTAACTTTAGGTATGGGACAAGAACTGTTATAATGTGTAAGGTCCCGGGCCTAAGTGAACGGAACAAGCTCTGATACTATGTTATAATCAGATTGAGGACTAAATTACGCTAAAAAGATTGAATCCAATCACTTAGTTTAAGTCATGACCTTATAAACTCGTATTTTCGAGCAAAGAATCAAAGTTTAAGAAAGTAGTTGAGTTTGAGCTGCCATAGGCCATAAGCTGTATGAGTGTATGCCTGAATGATACTATGAGCAGGAAATGTTGAATAGGGTTCACCCTCCAAGGGCAGATTGGTATGAAGAGTTTTATGCGTGGGCGATGAACACATTCACAAAAGCTTACGAGGCAGAGGTTGGTTTAACGATTTACAGATTATAGAAACTCGTTTTTTTTTTTGGTTGATGGGCTCTCGATTTACTTCCAGATTGCAGCTTACAAGTCTGAACTTTTTGCTAATTTGAGAGGGCAAGTGAAGAGCGTTTTGGAAATTGGCATTGGGACCGGTCCCAATCTTAAGTATTACTCTGGCGATATGGACTTCGTTTATGGCATAGATCCAAACCGGAAGATGGAGAAGTATGCACAGGCGGCAGCAGAAGCAGCTGGCCTTCCACCCGACAATTTCAAATTTATGCAAGCGGTATGTATATTCCCTACCCGTCCCCGTATTGCAAGACGAGATAGCTTTCTTTGGCTCGCAGAAAACATAATAGGAGTAACTATCTGTAGACCCGTAAAATATTGACCTTAAAATTTTGTTTTGGTGAAGAAATGTGTTGAACTAATGGTCTGAAATGTCTGGTTTTATGGCTAGAGAAGGGCTTAAAGTCGAAAAATTTGAAAATTGAATTAGGCTCAATGCATAACATATTGCAGGTTTCGGAGGCCTTGCCTCTCGGTGATGCTTCTGTGGATGCTGTTGTTGGGACCCTCGTTTTATGTTCCGTTAAAGATGTCGATTTGACACTGCAGGGTACACAAACTTCTTTGCCCCTTCGTTTATCGTATTCTAGTTAAGTGTTGAATTTGGAAGCTGGAATGGCCTGGCGGGTGGAGAATAACAACCACCTGCCAGTTAGGCGGAAGCAAGAATGAAGAATCAAGGAATAGAAAGTGTATATAAGACTGAAAGATATAGAAAATATATGATTCTATATTATATCTGTCTCTTTCTAATAAAGAAACATAGTACCTATCCATAAACTGACACATATTCATAAACAGACACAACCGCTTCATTCCATGCTGATGATATACATTAACTATCTTGTGCAGAGGTGAGGCGGGTGCTGAAGCCAGGCGGCGTTTTTGTGTTTGTAGAACACGTCGCTGCACAAGGTAACACAACATATGACTGCTGGTCTGCTACATGTTTCATGTTGAACAACAACTTCGCTTTCGTTCTTTCTTTCTGTCGCTTTTGCTAACCTCAATATTCCCGTTTGGGCGATGAATTCACTCGACAGATGGAACACTACATAGGTTTGTACAAGGATTGCTTGATCCTTTACAGCAGTTTGTGGCAGATGGGTGCCATCTCACTAGGAAAACTGGGAAGAGTATTGCAGATGCAGGGTTTGCAGAGGTTGATATTCATCAAGCTTCCTTATCTTCTGCTTCACTCATAAATCCTCATGTCTATGGTGTAGCTCACAACTAGATTCAATCTTACTTTGTATGTAATCATTTCAATCTTGATAATACAATAAAGTGGGCATTGAACCAAAAATATTAAAAAAAAAAAATTTATTTGCAATTTTCTTTAGAACAATTATTTGGATGGCGAAGGAAACCTTCAACCGTCACTGGATGGTGTGTATTGGGGTAAACGATATTCATATATAATATTCTGCAAAAGTGACGATTCTCCTCGGGGTCAGCTTCCGTGCCTTCCGGAGCAAACAAGGATTAGTCGGGTGGACCTGGACCACCTCGTGATTTACAAAAAAAAAAAAAAAAAAAAAAATCTGCAAACCACACACAATAAGTAAACCGTGTTAGGAAAGTAACTCTCACAAACGGGAGGTCATGGACTCAATCTCCAGTGGGGGCAATATTGACTTTTTTTACTTCAGTAGTTTGATAAAGTAGTTTATGGAGATATTATATTGTAACAGGGTTAGTAATACTTAAAAAACAAAAATAAACTAGGAAAATTCAGTGCATTTATTTATTTATTTATTTATTTTGAAGAACCACTTCTAATACAAAAATTACAAATTATTTGACCACATTTTCATTGTTTATTGTATTTTGTTGACAATAAATTCCAATTTTTAATTCCTGAAAATCCCAATTCCCCAAACAAAAGGGTAAAAGGAGGGTGTGGGAGGGGGGCTGGAGAAAGAAAGAAGAAAGACTTGGAAATGAAGGCAAAAAAATAAAGACAAAAAGTGGCGCAAAAGCGTAAATAGGGGGAGAAAAGAGGGGCATGCGAGCAAAAAGAAAACTTAAAATAATCGCGCTCAGTGCGCAAAATTAGGGTTCATATAATTCACATTTTTGTACTGCACTACACTGGACTGACACTTCTCCTCCATTATTATCGGATTCCATCTTCTTCTCCGTCGTTCTCAATCGAAATCCACCATTCCGGCCGCCGTGAGCATCTGTCGGCGCGCACCTAACAGTCCCGTGTGTGTATATTTCTTTATGTTTGGGTTTAATCAGTTAGGGTTTCGTTTCGGATTAATGTGTTGATTATTTCGCGTTCCCTGTTGCTTAAAGATATTCATTTCTGCATTTACAGGGTGTTCTTAATCTGAATATGATGTAATCTTTTGAGTTGGGGGTTCTAATTTTTAGATAAGGTCCTCATCCTGGTAAAGGTGCTGTCTTTTTTTTTTTTTCCTATTGGTTGATTGGATGTCCTGTTTACATGATAAGCTTTTAAGTCAAGGCAGAGGCTTAAGGGGCTCATACAAAATAGAAAATTGTGAATTTTGTTTTTTTTCATATTAAATGTGATTTTATACTTTGAATAGATATGCTTTGAAATTTTGCAGCATGCTTTTTGAGCTGCTGTTTGGTTTATATATATATCTGTTTTCTTCTTGATATATTGAATGGCTTTTATTCGTGCTGTTTGTAGTGATTGTAGATGGTTGTTTGTTGTGCTGCTGCTGGAGTGTACTGTTGAGAAAGCAATTATTGGTGGTGGAATTTTGCCAAGACAGGGTTTTTTTTTTTTTTTTTTATGCTGAGTCATTTGGTAGTGTTTTACGATTGGTTATTTAAAGGATAGGAGATGAAGCTCTTGTGATGGCTTAGAATGTTGATGCCCAAGAAACTGGAGTAGTTAGTGGAGTTCCATCCTGACCCGTTTGAGCTGCAAAGTGATTGTAGAAGCAAACATAATATAATATTTGTGAGTCTTCCGAAACATAGCTAAAACGGGGTCCCTTTGTTGTGTGGCTGCAAGGCCACATGGATCAAATGCAACCAGCAGGGAGTGGTCCATGGGGCCACATGAGCCTTACTGGCGAACTAATTCGAGCTTTTCCCCGCCACCAACAAGATGGGACTTCCGGTTCCAATCTGAAGCTCTATCATTTGGGTCTCATGATGGAGCCCAATTGTATGGATCATCAGCTTCATCAAACAGCAGAGAAAGTAGAAGCTGGGCAAGGGGAAACCAGTTCACGAATCATCAATATCTTGTATCTGATGGTATTGGTGCATACTATAGTAGCCCATCTGATAACTCTCCTGCTCAGCAGTGGACTCCTCCTGCTATACAAGAAATCAGCATTGATGATTATGGCACTTCTAGGCAAGGTAAACAGATAGTTTATGCTTCTCTCATTATTGTTTTTGGGTTAAGGCTTAGTTGATGTGTGCTTATCTTGAAGCTTTCTGTCTTTGTTTAAATATTATACTTGTTATGTTTAAATGTTTAGCTGCGTGCATGATTTGTCTCAGTCATCATCATTAATATAAGCTGTTTTTGTGTTGTTTCATTCAATATGGTTTATGCCAAGAATAGACAATTATTAACTGATTGCTTTCTTGTAGCTCTGAATTTCCTCTAGGTTCTCTGTTTGAGCCCAAATACTGTTGTGTGCACAATGGTACAAGTCATCACCATTTATATGCCAAGAAAAAAAAATTTGAGTTTTTGAGGCTGTTTCAGGGCTCGTTGAATTAATAGCCCTTGTATTCCCATGGATCCTTTTGAATTAATAGTTCTTGAAGTTGTTTGAATTAATTTTTTATTATGATTTTATTACTTAGCGTAATTGGATTTTTTTTTTATGAATATTAAAATTTTTATGCATCTATTTTACTTGGAATAAGTACATGTGCAGTTACCTAAAGGCCTCAACAGCTCTTACATTCTGCATATGAATGGTGCACACTAATTATATATTGAATCTTTTAGTGGCTAATATTTAATATTTTTCATTTCCCCGATGCAGTTTTGAGGCCTTTATCCTTCTCACCAACAATGGAGGTACACATCTGTGTTTACTAATTTTCAGTTGACGAGTTATCTTGCTTAAATTCATTGTGCCAATGCCGATAAATTTATTACAGGGAACATCGACTGCTAGGGATGGGAGAGGCTCGACTTCATCCCGATCTGACAGTAGTGATAGTGAATCCATCACCAAGTCACATTCCTCTCATCGTAACTTTCCAAGTTGCCGTTACTTTATGTCCAAACCCATTCACCCCTTGTCAATTCCATCTGAAACGCCTAGAAGAGAAGCTTTTGACAGCATCCCTGCAGGTTTTTCCGAATTCGATTCGACCACTCCACGGAGAGATAAACACCGTTCCAGCAGTGCTAGTTGCAGTCTTGACCTGGAGGCTTCCGAGCCCGTTGAATCTGACTCTTTAAGTAGGTCTTTTAACGTCTCGGAAGGTTTCAGATGTGGGTTGTGCGATAGGTTTCTATCGCAGAGATCGCCTTGGAGTTCCCGGCGAATTGTCCGAAGTGGTGACATGCCAGTTGCTGGGGTCCTTTCATGCCGCCACGTATTCCACGCCGAATGTCTGGAACAAACGACACCAAAGTCACGTAAGAGCGACCCTCCATGCCCAATATGCGCCAAGGTCGAAGAGGGAAGCTCTCCAGATCAGCGGGCCTTCTCGAAGTTCTTCCCTCGGCTTAAACCCTTTTCTGAAGACGGGCCATCCAAACCGTGGGGCTGTGCTCACGCTGGAGATTGCGTCGAAGGGGCCCTACACGCACCCTCCCGGAACACCCTTCTCTCACTCAACCGCAGTCGAATTAGAAAGAACCTGTCTTTGAAGGGCAATCCGGTTAAAGAATTCCCGGGGAAGCTGAGGAAAACTGGCTCGTATTCATCGCAATTATTTACCGGATCGGTGGATCACGGAACCGCTGGATCTTCAAAGGCGGTGACAGGCTCCAGCTTGAAGTAAGAGGAAAGTTGTGGTTTTTGGCCCTATGTGAAGTCTAGTTTTTTGGGTTGATTGAATGATGAAAATGGGAAAGCCTAATCATGTTGTTGTAGTATTTGTTAAGGTGGAAATGTGGTTTTGAATTGATGTCATTAAACATATATTGTATGTTGCATGCATGCTTTAGCATTGAATCCCTGGGGGGAATTGTTGTAAGATATAAAATGAAAAACATGGATCCAAAATTCTGTAATCTCCTGTATTTGGAATGGGTGAATGATTTTGGTTTGTTTTGTTAACTATATCGCTTGAATGTAAAGTCACAAGTTTATGTCACTTGACTCTAAAATCATTAGTCTCTATCGTTTGAATGAAAAGTCATACGTTTATGTCACTTGATTATAAGATCATATGGATTTTTTTATGCTTTACACCTAGGGTCCGTTTAGAAAGCAGGAAAATGACTTCTGGAAAATGATATTTTTTGAAAAATGAGTTATTTTTCGGAAAATATTTTCCTTTCCAGTGTTTGGTTGCATTTTGGAAAACTGTTTTTCTGTGTTTGGTTCATTTTCTGGAAAATGAGTAGAATTGTATAATTAAACATTTTAATTATTTAATTTAGAATATTACAACATGTATAATAATACATAATAATAATTTTAAATATAATAAAAAAATAACTAATAATATATCAAAAATATTATGGTGGTGGTGGTGGCGGCGGCGACGGTGGTTGCGGTGGTATAGCGGTGGTGGTGGCGGCGGTGACGGTGGTTGCTGTGGTATGGTGGTGGTGGTGACGGCGGCAGTGGTGTGATGGTGGTGGTAGTGGCGGCGACGGTGGTTGCGGTGGTGGTGGTGGTGGTGGTGGTGGCGGTGGTGTGATGGTGGTGGTAGTGGCGGCGACGGTGGTTGCGGTGGCGGTGGTGTGATGATGGTGGTGTGGTGGTGTGGTGGCGACGACGATGGTTGCGGTGGTATGGTGGTGGTGGCAGCGGTGGTGGTGGTGGTGGTAGTGGTGGTGGTGTGATGGTGGTGGTGTGGTGGCGGTGGTTGTGGTGGTATAGTGGTGGTGGCGACGGCAGTAGTGGTGGTGATGGTGGTAGTGAGGTGGTGGTGGTATGGTGTTGATGATGTTGGTGGTGGTAGTGATGTTGGTATAAAAGTTGAAAAATGAATTCCCAAAAAAAAAAAAAAAAAAAAAGTCATTTTCCTCCAAAACAAAGCCTATTTTCCAAAGTCAACGGAAAATGATTTCCGTTTACTTGATTTTCCAGGCACATCCAAACAATGGAAACTTGGAAAATGATTTCCAGAACTTATTTTCTAAGTTTCCAAACACACCCTAGTTAAAATCAGTACTTAAAAGTTACAAGTTTATGTCACTCAACTATAAGATCATATGGACTTCTTTACTCTTTAGTCTTTACACAATTACTCCTAATTAAAATATGTATCTCAAGGAGCATCTACAATAGCATTGATTTTTTTTTATTTTTTTATTGTTTTTTGTGGTTTTTGAAGTGCCAACTAGAAGAGAGAAGGGAAAGAGAAGAAGAAAAAAGAGGGAAAAAATAAAAATGCGGATCTAACGAAAAAAAAAAAACAACGCGCCAGTCGTCGCGTGCACTGCACGCGCCCGGCTGGGCGTAGCCTGAGCGTGAAACGCGCACAACTTCGACTTTCCTCTCTCCTAGGCCTCACAAAAAACTATTCTTGCATAGCATACACATTTTTCTCTTTCTTGCCTTCTCTTTCCTCCATCTCATGTTAGACCCCACAAAAAACCAAGAAAAAACTAGCATATATTAGTGGAATATAACATCATGAGAGCAATCATACCAACAGATTTTATTGAGTTTTTGGTACATTACAGAAAAGTTGAATTGATTTTTTACTGACGTGGGTTTGAGTTTTTTTTTTTTTTTTTTTTTTTTTTTTTTTTGTGGATTAAACTCCCGCAAGTTATTGCATTTTGTCAGAAATTGAAAAAAAAAAAAAAAAAAAGAAGAAGAAAGACAATGAAACGCAATTGCGTCTCACTGTCCACCCAGCGCGCGCGTGTACACGTGTGGTACACGCGCCCGCTGGGGTGATTGAGAGTGACCGCTAGTTAGCGGCCACTCTCAATTGAGCTATTTATTTATGTTCTTTTAAAAAAAAAATAAAAATTTAAAACATGTGCAACGGTCAGCTTCTTATTTTTATTATTTTTTTAAAAGAAATTTTTAATTTAGTTTTATTAACTTTCTTGTTTTTATTTTTCTAATTTTTAATTTAATTTTATTCAATTTTAATTTATTATTGTTATTAAATTTATAATTATTAATTAAATTAAAATGTTTAAATTATCAATAACATTATTATTAATTTTCTAATTATTTTTTTAGGATAAAAGAAAATACTTTTATAATTATTAATAATATTATAATACTTTTTTTGGATGCTCTAAGTGAAATCTTTTTTCTTTACTGAAATGCTCATGACTACCTTGCCCTTTTCCATCACTTGAAAGAGACAACTCAGAACAACCATTTGTCTATCTCATAATCATTCCCACATCCATGCATCCACTCAAATTTAAAGCTCATCCCAAGTCCATTAGCATCCATAAACACTCCTATACCCATCCATCCACTAGACCACTACATACTTCAGTTCCTAACAAGGCAATATATATTATATTTGGCATATATATATATATATATATATCACCCAATCAGTTCACCGGTCAGACCTTGGTCTACATGCGCGCACAAGGGATTCAATGTATACCTTCCATCATCGTGAGCATTTCTTTTTCTCATTCATGTTCCTAGTGGGGTTTGAACCCCACACGGCCACCCTTCAGTCGTGATATCAAGTTAGATGACGAACCACTATGCTAAGCCCCCGGGACCTCTATTTCACTTCTTTACTCCTATTCATTATATTGTATATATTTTCCAACATAGTCACAACTTTAATTTAATCACTTTTGTACTTCTAAAATAAATTTGAACTTTGTTACTGACTGTTGGGTAATAAGGTGGAAAATCCCAAAAATAATAATTCTATGGAAAGATTAAAATTTTATGGGAAAAACAGAAAAACTGGGAAGGAAAAGGTGGAGTGTTTGGGTATAGGTTTAGCACGAGTTCGAACACAAGGTTCTTTTCCTTAAAACCTTATTTGCTACCTCCCACAAGTGCTAGGAGCGTTGTAACCTAGGTTTCCCAGGATAAAACGTGCTACGATTCTTTGTTTAAGCACATAAACAAAGAACCCGGCAAACAAAGCAAGGCAGTGAACACTGTTGGCTAAAGAAGAGAGTAGAAGCAGAGTTTTGGTGCTGAAAACTTACTGGAATTCCTTTTTGTTTCTTACTGTATAAAAAGCTACTGCCCTACCTCTCTTTATATAGGGCTGTTGGAAGGGATAACATTCAACATGGCCATTAATTGGTATTAAAACCAATTGTGTAACACCTGTAACAGCCACCCACTAACTAGGATTAAACTCTGTTTTAAAATTGGAATTCAAACAGTATTAATTCCATAACAGATGAGTTTAATCTGTACAACAGGTTGAACTTTCGGGTTTCAGACCATCCGTTGGGGTGCAGGTTCACACGAGAGCACAAGGACCAGCAACACGAGAGTACATCTCTCGTGCGTGCTGTGGTGCAACCCGAGAGTGCACCTCTCGTGGTCACCGATGCACGAGAGTTGTGCTCTAGGTGCACCCGATGCACGAGAGTTGTGCTCTCAGTGCACCCGATGCACGAGAGTTGTGCTCTCGGTGCACCACAACCTCTCATGCTCTCTGTAGAACGAGAGTGGTGCTCTCGGTTTCGGCCGAACCAAGTGACTATATCAGTTGGAAAATGATACCGAAGTTTGGCATAACTTAGCCCGCAAATGTGGGACAAAGCTCACTTTTCCCTTCATTTCCCAACTCAAATGGGTCTACTTTGAGAATCAATATCTCATTCACCCATTATCCGTTTTGAGCGTACAATATATCAATCTCTTCGTCTCACTACGAAGAACCCGAATCTACTTTGACCCGACCCAAATCGAAAGTGGATCCCACTGATAATTGTACCACAAAATAGCCACTTAATATACCATTTTATGCCATTTTAAGCTATTTTTTTCAACACTGACTTGATATATATATATATATAGATTTTGAATCCGGTTCACACCCCGCAATCAGCCGAGCTCGTGAGCACACTCCCTGGTCGTTGATTTCTTTTGATCAAGGGCTCGGATGGTGTTGGTTTATTCCCCATATGCGCTGATTGTTTAGGTAAGAAGGGGTAATTTTGTACTTTGGCTTATGCTTTTATTATTCTAGGCGTAATATCCGGCGGTATCTATTCCATCATATATTCAATTTTTAGGTTGTTTTTTTTGTTCTTTACGCTTTGCTCTCGCAGTTGTCTGTATTACCGTGCATCTCGTCTCTCTTGTCGATTGGTCTCTCTCCGTTCACAACCTTGCGTCGATTGTCCAGCGTCAGTATCTCCATGGATGGGTCTAGCAGGAGGCAGTCCAAGCGACTTAGGGGTATCTCGTCTTCGTCTAGTGCGGGTACTATCTATCGCCATTCTCTATTTTGTTTTTTCTTTTAAATTTTTTTTTTTGTTTATTTTGTGGTGTTCTTTCCCGTATTTTTGTGGGTTTCTTGCCGTAGCGAGGGGGATTCGGTTGGGGTTTTGGATTTTCGATTTCTTGTGCGGTCGTAGTTCTTGTTTGTGTGATATTTATGGGGGGTTATCACCGGGGGTTGTTTATTTTGCTTTGCCTCTGAAATCAGGATTTTGGGGTGGTGCGAGGGTGACAGCGGGGGTTTTTTTTGATTTCTTGGTTAGGGTTTTGGGGGTTGGCATTTGGGTTTTTTTCTCGAATGGGTCGGGGGGGTTGGTGATCAAGGTTGTGCATGTGTTTTTTTGGTGGGTTTTGGCCTCCGGTAGGTGGGTGTTTGGGGTTTTGGGGTTATTTTATCTGCAGACAAATTTTTTCCCTCTAATGTTGTACTCTCAATAGGTTATCAACCCTTTCACAAAATATGCCTTGATGATAAAGCCACTGGCTAGAACTGGGAGGAGTTGCTGCCTAAGAGAATCTCCAGTAGTTTCTGGTGTTTTGTTCTGCTAAGGACAGCACTTGTAGCTTCAACCATTTGTGTCGCATTCCTTCTTCCTTTCTTCGGTATGGACCTATGAAAATTTGTTTTCAAATTGCTACATTGCCTTAATGGAGAGCTTAGGTTAGAGAATGGTTTTAGGTAATGTATCGTTTTCATAAATCTTACATTACCTAAAAACCTTAGGGAATGAGACTCCCAGGAATATGGTAAAAAAATGAACTAGAAACCATCTCTAGGAACCAAATACAGGCCTATAACATTTCGATGCTCACATTACTGAACTTTCCCTTTAATTAAGGGGAGCAAAATATTTGTCTGAGTGTTCTGATTCTCAATATCTGGCATTTGCAGGACTCTACTGGTGTCTATCGACCACCAAAACTTGCGCCTGCTATCATGGACGAAGATAAAACATCAAGACAGGAGAGAAATGCTTTGAGGAAGGAGCAAGAGATGCTTCGACAGGCTAAGCAAAGCACATATATGATAGATGATATTGAGGGAAGACCCGAAGAGGTGTGTGGATATTTGGTTCATTTCTGCTATTTATTACTCCATATCTCATTTTTGGATGGCTTCCTTGTGTTTTTAACTATATCTAATCATAAAATGTGCAGTGGAGAGAGGTGGTTGGAACTGAGAGCAGAGAACTTAAACGGTACATGGCTAAGATGGAAAAATGTGAACAACAATCAGAAGAGCAATTCACTCGTGCTCCTCTCACAAAATTGGAGAAAAAGAAAATGAAACATCTAAAGAAGTCACGAAATGGGTAAGCCAAATTAAGTTATACTGTCTGATTGGTCTTTTATCATTTATGGATTATGCCATCTGGTTATCTTTAGTCTTCGCAGAGATTTTTGGCCTGTTAGTTTCAAAATTGCTTATGCATGTGGTTCATATTTGATATTTATCGACTTATAATCTGGTTTACCAATTGCTTTCTGGTTGTGATAGGTTGCTTGGCCTGACTGAGAGTTTCTATGATGAGATGAAGACTTTACCTTTTGAAGAAGGTGTTTCCGATCGAAAGGACTTGGGAAGTTGTGGTACTATTGAAAGAAAGCAGAAGAAATGCAAGGTGATTGTGCAGAAATGATATTTGTTTATATTGCTTAATTGTTGACTCATTTCCTTCAAATTTACTTTATGGCCGGACACTATATACTGATTAGCTTAACTGCATTCCATATGAATTCATGGGATTTAAGAAAAATATTTTGTTTTGAGGATTCCTTGAAATATTTTGACTTTTGGGGTTTGTTTTATTGGATTGTCCTCCCTCTTGTTTTCTATTTCCCCAATTATCCATACACAAGTCAGCAGCTTTTCTTAGTCCTCTTTATTAAAGTTTTCGCCTTTCTCTTATTTCTCCGTATCAGATGACTATTAAATATGCTCCCCTACACTCACCTCTTTGTTATGACACTTAATGCCCACTTGCAGAGAAAGAACTAACCAACTTGAAGATACTGGACCAACAGATTTCACTCGAGGAATGGTTAAATGTCTCTTCAAATGGTTTATCAAGCAGGAATTGCTTTGGCAATGGCAAGTTTTTTTTTTTCCTCCATAAAAGAGTAGTGGGTGTTTTACAACAGGTATCTCAATCCTGCCTGTAGCCTGGAAATATAGCACAAGTAGTGAATCCCTTGGTCTCCCTCTCTTAATCAATTGTCTACATTACCCGAAACATAAATACGAAGTTTTTGAAACATTTTTATCATTCAGTCTTTCACTGTAGGAGCAGTTTCTTTCATCATTCACTCTTCACTGTGAGAGCAGTTTTGAGTCACACGCCCCATCATCTTTACGCACACGCTTCTCCATTGCTCGCACACCACACCGACAATTAAACATCTGCAACCAAAATGAATTTACCCAACATGCACTAACCGAATCCACGACTCGCACAGACCACCGCATGAATACGCACACTCCATAATTAAAAATGCATAGACCCCCATACTTCTACCCATTCAATAATTTTCTTCCATATACGGTCAAACCACATGCATTTAACCATATCCCCAATAATAACTTAGCTCCTTGGATCTCGAATTACAGGAAAAACATTTTACACCTCCAATTCACCAAAACGCACACGCTACAACAGTAACACGCACACACAATTACAAGTAGACACACAGACCACAATTTCAAACGCACAGACCCGCAATACTACTCATGTGACGCCCAAAAATAACAAACCACTTCTACCTATTTAGTTAATTTCTTCCATATCCGGGCAAACAACATACATTCAACCATACCCCCAATAATAACTTAGCTCCTTGCACACGCCACAACAGCAACACGCACACATTATAACAAGCAGACGTACAGAACACAATCCCAAACGCACAGACCCCCAATACTACTCCTGTGACGCCAAAACAATAACAAACCACTTCTACCCATTTAGTTAATTTCTTCCATACTCGGGCAAACAACATGCATTCAACCATACCCCCAATAATTCTTTAACTCCTTGGATGTCGAATTACAGGAACACGCACACGCCATTACAAGACGCACAGACCGCAATTCAAAACGCACAGACCCCAAACACTACATCACTAAATTTCCGTACTACTACTACATGTTCGTATCTCATCCACAGATACTTTATATTTGTTACCATTCTTATTCCATCTAATATTATGCTAAATATTACTAATTTATTTTAGCCATAATTAACAACACTATTACAATGACTCTTTTATCCTTATTTTTAAATTCTAACCTTAATTATCTAACACATCTCTTTCAATCACATCCATCAAATTCTAGTAACTTAATGGTTGTGATGAGACCTCATGACCTCATCTAATATAGGGGGTGCACCGGATTCAAAACCTATATATATATATATATATATATATATATATATATATATATATATGTGTGTGTGTGTGTGTGTGTGTGTGTGTGTGTGTGTTCACCACTAAATCCAGCTCTCCCACATGCACCCAACCAAAGTTTGTCCTTGCAAAGATGAAGTGTGTGTATATAAATGCACATGACTTCTAAATATGTGGTTTATATACAAATTGCACTTTTTTTTGCCGCAAATATGTGGTTTAAACACATTTTCAAATTAAAGTGTGGATACATTGACCAATAGATCAGAGGTGTTTTGGTGAGGTACAGCCCTAAAGATTTTGGCATTGCATTTGGGCCAATTATTATGTTTATGTATGTAGAAGATAAGACGAATATATATGAAAATGATGTGCCATGACACATAACAATATTTTAAAATTATTTCAAGGGTCCATACAAGGTGGTTCTTGATCTTGTAGCATCCTAAGAACATACATTTCCATAGTTAATGTTGTAAGGAAAATGTGTGTGTATATATAAATAAATAAATAAATAAATAAATAAATAAATATATATATATATATATATATATATATATATATATATATATATATAACTACACAAACTTTCTTATTTTTGGGTAGCATCTCATTCATGTAACATGCAATAAAAAATATCCACTTCTAATTTGACGTACTGAAGTTAAATTGATTCACGTTTAAAAAATATTTGTAGTCGCGGTGTATTGCAATACTTATGGTTTAATGTTACTATCCTTTGGGGTTTTTTAGTAAGTTATGTTTGAGTAGTCACACTATCATACTTTGAGTGGAGCACTTTGAGAAAGTGTAGGTTTAATTGCTTTGTCATAGTTAAGCTAGCTTTTATGTATGTATCAAATTCTACTTTTGGCCATTTGAAAGCTAGATATCTTTTTTTTTTTTTTTTTTTTTTTTTTTTTTTTCTTTTGGTGACCAGAAATCCGCAGTCACCAGGATAAAAAATACATTTTAAAATATTATTCAAACTCTTTTTATTCTGCTTTTGATTTTTTAGTAGACGATGTTAAAGAAGTTGTCTCCATGATAAATGGGGTAGACTTTAGTTTTGTTAAGCGATCTGCGAATTGTGCTGCACACATTGTTGCTCGGGAAGCTGTTTCAATGTCAGGTTGCGGAGAGTGATATGATAATCCTCCTCATTATCTTGTTGATGTTCTTATTTCTGATTTAATGAATTAAGTTCTTTTTCTCAACAAAAAAATGGAAATGAAATATTAGTCAATTATTTCCTCATGAGCTGCCAAAACGTCAGCAAGGATCTAGTTACTTTTCCTTAAATTGTGACCCCTTTTTTAAAATCAATCATGTCATATCATTAAAAAATAAAAATAAAATAAAATAAAATAAAGTATTTTAATTTTTTGGGTGCCCAAGGAAAGACACGGTTACTATCGAAAAATGTCTTCTAAGAAAATCCCGTTCTTGTGTAATATCTCACAAACTATCATGATAGCTAAATCCTAAAAATGAACATGTTTGTGCCCTCATGCATGCATGAATTCATATATTGCAAAACCTATAAATGGACATGGTATTGTGTTCTCAAGTTTAGTTGAGTGAAGGCACTTTATTGTTGGATCATCTTTCGGATAATATGATGAATATATATCCTCTTTGTTGTATGTTTTGCATGCTTCAACATGGAAAGTTAAAGATGTAGTCGTCTCTTTAAGGTCTTTCGGTCATACCAAAATAAAATTTAGTTGAATGTACCTTCAGTCATTTTTGCGTTATCATATCAACTTCACAAGAGATTGTGAAATGGTATTTAAGTCGGAGACAAACCTTCACTCATGAGCTAGCTTTTGTGGTGGGGTTAAGATGTTGGCTTGAGTTTGTATCATTTGATTCTCTCGCTGAAGTGGCCGGTGAGTGGTGGGAAAGGGCTACCTGAAAGAGGGCAGAGCTACCCGGTACTTGATAAGATTCAAAGACAATTGAGAAGATTCCGAAGTGAAAGCTATCTAGAGTGAAGTCGTCCGCCCCACAACCATGTCTTTTTCTCCCTCACTTTCTCTGGACTAACCCTCATATAACCTCAGGATTGTATCAATTGGACAGCGCCCTTCAAGAAGATGTTTGATTCCATACAATTTCTTCATCGAAAAAAAAAAACCAGAGCCCATGCACATGGAAACTATAGAAGCAATCCACCATGTACCGTGATTGAAATGATACACCCATGGTGCAATATTGCTACAATTATTATTATTATTATTAATTAGTGTATAGTAGTATTCATGGGTAGTTATAATAGAGCAATGAGGTAGTGGGTAGTTTTATGATCATGTATAAATAGTTACCTATGTATTTGAAGATTATATTAAATTTGTGAAAGACATTCCCTTCTCTTATCTCTTTTTTTTTTTTTTTTTTTTTTTTTTTTTTTTTTTTTTTAAGTTAGACGGTCACTTGAAACACAACCATGTCTTTTCTTTCTTTTTTTTTTCTTTAATTTTTGGAGTTTAGATCTTTACTCGAAGAAGAACATTTACATACAACCTCGGGGTTGTATCACATTTTCTCAGATAAAACAACATTGAAAGAAATTCTAATACCCCCATGTTGGGCCAATTGTTATACTATGGACCAGGGTCCATCTTACATGGTGGTCCAAAAATTGTGTCTGCAGTTAATAATATATTATGTACTTACTGTTAGTCGATCTTTAATTTATTTATTGACCCGTTAAATGCAGGTACAAATAATTTGAAAGTTATTTTAGATTGATTCACAATGCAACGTAGACACTGGTTCAAGGTATAATTTGCTCATCTACGCATGTCATATGAGAAGTTGAAAATTGAAAATATGATAACTTTTTAGGTAAAGTTACATGTTGATATTGTTACATTATAAATTTTTTAGCCAAAATTTAACAAAACGAGAATTAAATCTATGACTTTTAAGTTTGTATGTAAGACTTACATGTTGACACCGTCACTCGACAAATCTTTTGGCCAAATAAAATTACTTTATAATTATTTGTTTGTCCTGAGAGTTTTAGTATCACTCATAGTTGCAATGCAACTTGCAGATGCAAGCATGTTGACGAAGACCTAAAGGGCAAATTCCTCCACTGGCCTTCTCCTATTTATACCCCCCATTGCCCTTTCCATTTTCAATTCATCTCTCAACCCTCCTCACATCCTCTCCAACTCCTAAGGACTAAATAGTAATTTTCTCTGATCTTCCCTACCAAATATGGGTTTCATCATTGTCATTTTCTTGGTTGGCTTGCTTGCAATGGCCTCAGCCGGCGAAGGCTACGGTGGTGGAGGGTGGTCAGATGCTCATGCCACCTTCTACGGTGGCGGAGATGCTTCCGGCACAATGGGTATGGTAACACTTCACAATTTCTTAAAAATATAAAATTTGTATTTATTTCAATTCTCTATTTTTCATGTCTATACTTTGTCTATTTTTCATCTCTTGTATGTGTGAGTTTTGAGACAAATTTTTTTCAAATAAGAGCCAAATTTTGCTGGTGCGATATAGGCTGAATTTGGATTTATCTTAGTATCTAATGTTATATATATAAAAAAAAATTAGATATTGTCCTGTCGGAGTGTCGGGTAGTGTAATTTTTTAAGTGGTTGTTCAATTAACGTTTAATCTTACTTTCAGCAATAAAGTAAGATTTTGACCAATCAGTAATGGCTAAAACTAAAAAACTTGGGTTATCAAAAAATAAAATTGGGATGTTTGGTTGGACCAAATTTGATTTTTTTTTTTTTTTTTTTTTTTTTACTATTTATATAGGTGGGGCATGTGGTTATGGAAATTTGTATAGCACAGGCTATGGTACAAACACTGCAGCTCTAAGTACAGCTCTTTTCAACAATGGGTTGAGCTGTGGATCTTGCTATGAGATGAGGTGTGTGAATGACAAGTCATGTCTGCCTGGGGGTATTTTAGTCACTGCAACAAATTTTTGCCCTCCAAACAATGCCTTGCCCAACAATGCAGGGGGGTGGTGCAACCCTCCCCTCCACCACTTTGACCTCTCTCAGCCTGTCTTCCAACACATTGCCCACTATAGTGCCGGAATTGTCCCTGTTGTTTACCGAAGGTATGCCCAAGTTGCCTTATTGGCCCAATGTGTGACAAGGGTATTTTTGTCTTTTCATTCATCACGCATGCAATTTAATTACTTTAATTAGTAACTTGTATCAATACCAAGACTTATCGGTCTAAAAGTAAAAAAAGAATTTTATCTCTCTTAAACAACGTAACGTTTCTAAGTTCAAACTTTGTAAATATAATATGACATTAACTTAAGGGAAATGGATCAAATGGAACCTGAACTTTACTCAAAATGTCAATTAGTCCCTTAAACTTTCAAAAGTTACAATTAAAAATATAAAGATGTTATTTTGAAGCATTGAAGCCCAAAAACCGATTGGTAACCTGTAATTAAAGGTTACCTAGCTAGAATTCTGGCGACCCTTCCATCATTTTCCAGCCACAATCATCGGTGACTGGCTACTGAACGATTGCCGGTCACATTGTTCTATCCCCTTCTCTAACGAAGGAGAAGGCAACCAAGTCCATCATATTTTATTTGTTAGAATCATGAACATGCAATGTTAGACTATTAGTTTTCAAAATAAATAAAGAATCTATTTTTGTCCTTATGGGTTTGAACACGGATTCATAAAGTTCAAATATAATTCGAGAAAGTTAAGAAACTTTATATAAAGTTATCAATAATAATAATAAACAATCTATTTTTGTAGGGTGCCATGTAAGAGAAGTGGAGCCATAAGGTTCACCATTAATGGCCACTCCTACTTCAACTTGGTACTCGTCACCAACGTCGCCGGAGGCGGCGATGTTCATGCGGTGGCCATTAAGGGTTCAAGAACTGGGTGGCAATCGATGTCCAGAAACTGGGGGCAGAATTGGGAAAGCAGCTTGTATCTCAACGGCCAAGCCCTCTCTTTCAAGGTCACCACCGGCGACGGCCGCAACATCGTCTCCTACAACGCCGCTCCTCCGAGCTGGTCTTTTGGTCAAACCTTCGCCGGCGGCCAGTTCCATTGAGGACGATCAGAGTAGACGACCCTAAGTTGTAATTTACTCCGAAGGATGATTGCACTAGTGGGATATGATTATTACAAGTGTAAATCTATTATAGTAATATAATTCCTTCCATATACGAGTTTTAATTGAACCATAAACTAAAAGTTCTTGGCGATTTGTCGAGAGTGACTACATTCATTGCTTATATACTTGTTCTGTTTAATTTATCTTAGACTAACCGTGGAAAGACATTTTCAAAATCCCTCCTCATTGGGTGTGGATACTAGCTCGCCTCATCGAGCGTGGATACTCACTCCTAATTAGGTCCTAAAAAATAATTCAAGTGAGTTTTTTTTTTTTTTTTTTTTTTTTTTAAAGATTTTGGAGAGTTACCTAGTTAAGTTAGTTTGGTAATTACAAGATTCTAAGTTCAACTCTACTATTTCTTTATAATTCTTTACCAGGTATAAATGTATAATCATAAGACGAGCTTCACCCAATAAATTTACCATTTATTATGAAGAATCTTTACCAATACCACTTATAAAGAATCTTTACCAATACCACTTATAAATCATTCTCCACCACAACAACCCGATAATCCTAGCAAATTATATCGTGCCCCACTGTGCATAATGGATTAAGCACCGAGCTTCTAAACGACGTCGTTTTGTTTAATGAAAAGAAACGGCACTCGTTTCACGTCATTCTGCAAAAAAAGTAACTCTTTTATTCAGTTTCATTTTGTATACACTGCAGTTTCATTTCAATATTTATACACTCAAATATGTGAAAATAGTATTTAATTTTATTTTATATACACTATAGTTTTATTAAAACACAACTACATTATCATTTCGATATAACTACAGTTTCATTACACAATATACACTCAAATATGTGAAATGTTATTCAGTTTTATTTTATATACACTACACTTTCATTTTAACACAATTACAGTTTCATTTCAATTTAATTGCAGTTTCATTTGATAATATAAAAATAAAAGTGAGAAAGTGTCAATTTAGATACACTGTAATTTCAATTAGTAATTAATACACCAAAATATGCGCGCTCTGTTAACTGTAACGACGCATCGTTTCTTTACTTAAAGAAACAGCGCCGTTCTTGGACCGCGGTCCACAATATAATTGCTGGATAACCCTTCTTCCAAGTCAAATGGGCCTATAAACTAAAGAAATATGGACAGAAGAGTCTTGGCCCATAAAATAAAGAAATAGACCCAAAAATGAAAGGCATTTTTATTTATTTAATTAATAATTTTGGTGAATAGATAAATATAATAACAAAAAATTTTAAATAAAAAAAAAATAAAAAGATAAAACTTTCAATCAACCAAACAAAATCTTCTGCCCCTCCATTGCCGCCACCGCGCCACTGCTCATAAGCATGCTTATCCGGCTGCAAATCCTCCCTAAAACTCTCATTCCGCGTTCCTATTTTGCCCCTAAAGCCTCCTCTTCTAAGCCTCTCAAACCTTTCACTCCGGCCACCGCCGCCGCCAGCACCGACTCCGGCCTCAAATTCCGGCAGAAGATCCTCTACCTCCAAGAACTGCGAGTGAATCCCGCGAAAGCCCTCCACAAGAACCCACACATACGATCCGCCCCTCTCTCCGCCCTCAAATCCGTCGAGAACTCCCTCCGCTCTATGGGCATCGAGCGCTCCGCCCTCGGCCGCATCCTCGACATGTTCCCGCAGCTCCTCACCGCCGACCCGTACGCCGACCTCTACCCGGTCCTCGATTTTCTCCTGAATGACGTCAGCATCCCCTTCCCCGACGTCCGGTTATCGGTGATTCGTTGCCCTAGGCTGTTGGTTTCCGGCGTGGACACCCAATTGAAGCCCACATTACGGTTCTTGGAGCAATTCGGGTTCGTGGGTCCGTACAAAATCACCGCCCAGACCACTGTGTTGCTCGTCTCCAGCGTTGAGCTCACTCTGAACCCTAAAATTGAATACTTAATTGGATTGGGGTTCAGCTATGATGAGGTGGTGAACATGGTTCTTAGGTCTCCGGGGCTGCTAACTTTCAGTATAGACAACAATTATAGGCCGAAAGTCGATTACTTTTTGAAGGAAATGAAGGGGGATTTGGAGGATTTGAAGAGCTTCCCACAATTCTTTTCATTCAGTTTGGATGGTAAAATAAAGCCGAGGCATAGGCTTTTGGTGGAGCACGGATTCCGGCTGAAATTGCCGGAGATGTTGAAGATCAGTGATGGGGAGTTCAGTGCAAAACTGGTGGAAATGCAGTTGCAGCTCCTGGAGAACAGACACTTGTAGTAAGTCACTTCCTTGATTTTTTTTATGACGAGAAAACTCACAATCACTATCTGAAAAGTGTAGTAAACTCGGGTCCAAAGGACCTCGAAGAGGTAACTGCCTAGGTTGCCTATAGTGGCTCCCGTTTGGAGTTGAATTTGTAACCCAGATAACCCTGCCAAGGATGCCCATAGCGGCTTAAGAAGGCTAATAGGAGTCGAACTTGTAACCTGGTGATTACTGACTCAATAGCTTGACCAACTTAGCTGAGTTGCCCTCTCTTTCTTGAACTTTTTGGATTGTTTCATGCTTGAAGGGCAATTACTCTTTGCTTTACTTGTGTAATGTACATATGCTATATAGGAATTGATAACAGTATGGAATTATAATGCTACAATGCTTGCATTTCTAGCTCGGTTCGTGGAATATGATTGAGGTGATGTAGAAGTAGAAGTCTACTTGGAACGAAACCAATATAAATGCAGGTGTAGCTCAGAAGATTTGAGCTAATGGTTGTTTAAGAATTGAATAAAAGCCAACCATTGCGCCTAATGGTTGTTTAAAAATGTCACTTAGGTTCCATGTAAATAATGCATTCATCGTGATGGTATCGTTCTCTTCAGTCCCAATAATCATAACCTCACTGATTAATCGAACAAGTCACTTTTTTGTTTTGTTTTTTTTTTTTTTTTGTTTTTTTTGTTTTCCACTTTATTCTGTGCAATGTAACTGTTGGGTGGAATGATTTTGTTTGCTCCGTATTTGCTAGGAACAATCCTAGAATGTAGAGAATGACTAAATGAGCAAAAATGTCTGGCAAAAAACATTCAGTTTGTGCTTGAAAAACGTTTTTTTGTTTAAACCTAGGCTGCCACAATAAGTTTATAAATCTTATGTTAACTAAACGATAGGGAAATGGGACTCAATAAAATTGTTAAGAATCGGACTTGAGCAGATTACACCCAAAAAAAAAAAAAAACAAAACAAAACTTTTCATTTGGAAACACTTTGGAATATTTGTCGCAATTATAGTAAATTCTATGTTTTTGTCAAAATTGAGCCAACCCAGTTTGTAATCACCCTTAGGCAATAACTTAAACTAGAAAAGGTATAAAAATGGGTATTATGATTTAAGTGACTCTTATAGCATATAGCTCAGCAAAACGTCTGGGGGTGAGCTTGCAAGACACATATAATTGATATATTGTTTGAAATTCTATCTGCAATTTGGAGAAATCAGACCTTATACTGTGTCCATAGTGAATTTAAATGGAGTGCTAGTACTTAGATCATACGGCAATTAACTGCTTGCTGTATGCAATTCGCATGAACAGTTTTTTTTCTGCCAATTTTCTGTTTCAGTAATAAATTTCATATTTACTCTTTAATCCAAGAATGCTTTGCTCTATTTGTCTAACTTACTCCATAGTTCCCCTTAGCAAGCTGATAGTTAGCTGTTGACTATGAATAGTGGTGTTCAGAATTTTCTACAAAATGAAAACTTGCAAAGTTGCAAATAAGATGAACAGCCAAACACAAAACTAGGAGGTATACCATATACATTCTATAGTAAGAAATTTGATGTTATTTAGGAGCAACCCCAATCAAGTTGGTCAGACTGTTGTCTTAGTAACTACAAGGTTCCAAGTTCGACTCTCAGTGGGAGTAACCTATTGGCCTTCTTGGTTTGAGCCAGTCAACTATGGGCAACCTAGACTGGTTTACCGTTTACTTCCTTGTGGTCCTTTGCCGGCTAGCGGGCTAGGGTCACCAGGCGGGGTTTACCTAGTGCACACCCTTGGGTAGTGGTTGCGAGTTTCCCACATCACCCAAAAAAAACTGATGCAATTATGCCAGAAGAACCATATGTTTCTTGTTGATGGTGGAGCATTAAAACATCAATAATGAATATGGATAAGAATTGAAAAGATATATTTAGTTATTTACCCTCCGCTGTATAAGTCCTTGAGAGTGTTTCTTCACCAACTGGTTACTGTTTCGTTTCAGTTACAACTGCAATGAACAAGTTGCAATTGTAAGAGAATTGGGGCAATGGGAGGGACAAGTAGCAATGGCCTACTGGTAATTTTCTGAAGTCTGTGCAGTGCACAGTTTTGCAGAAATGATTGTATGGCCTGCATGAGCTTCCACATCATGCATTTATATGCTCTCATCTAAGCAGTCAACTTTTGTATAGTTTTTCGCCTAAATGACCATTAATGGCGTTATGTGTAAGTATGTAAATAATGTGTTTGAAGGCCCATTCTTTTGATTAGGATTGGTATTGAATTGGGCCGAGCAAATTGGACTGATAGACTTTCTTGTTCTTTGACAGGTTGGCATGGCAATCCCCGGTCTTCCAACTCCACACGACGATTCAACTTTCCATTATGCGCCAAACCATAGAACCGTATGGCATTCCTTACATCTCTTCTTCCTTAACTATTTGCAGAAACCCAGCCAAACTTGAAATGTCATATACAATTCAATGCTGTCATCAACATTGACCTTTTTGAACCACTTCACCCCCACCCCCACCCCACACACACCCTTTAACAAAAGAATGGCCAGGGGAAACTGCTAAATTCCTCTTTAGGTATGGTGATGAGGTCAAATGGAGATGACCACAAAATTCCGATATCCTGTGCTCTGAACTTGTGACTTCAAGAACGTAACCGTGTCTACTGGATACCATCTGCTTGCCATGGGATGATCTCACGAGTCGTGATGCCCATTCAGCCTCCTTGTCGTCTTTCAATGCTACTGTGGAGCCTATGTTTATATCGAAACATACTCGTTATCTTTTCTTACAAGTACAAATGTTGTAGTTATTGTGTATATTAGATGCATTCATTATTGAAGGGGGGAAGCCTCATTCTTCCCATGGAAATGATAAGCTTTTAGAAATGATGAAGACCCTGCTTGTGAGTTCATAGTTGTGAAAACTTTTATAACACCATTCAATAAATGAAACTGAGTAAAACAGGTAAACAACCTCTCAGTCGACAATGCTGAGTTGTCTATAGCTGATCAGTTCAAATCAAGAAAGTTAATAAATAGCTCCCATGAAGAGTCGAAATTAAACCAACTTAACTTATCTGATATATCTACAACATCACAATATCTCCGAAAATGTACTCTGGATAACTGACAAAAGACCCGGAGGTAAACATTGATCATTATAAACCAAGAATGTCAACAAACGTATCCCATGAAGAGTCGAACTTATTAGAACCTTGTAATTATCAAACTAACTCTCAGACCAACTTAGTTGGGGATTACTCGCTAATCCAAACAAAACCTAATCTAGTAACAAACTAGACATAGTTTGGTTTCAAATTAGTCCATGGCTATGTGGTGGGCAATGACATTGAAAAATTGAAGAGAATGACAACAAAGGACAAAGCTTTAAGATGAGTTGATGCTGTGTGGGATAGGACATTCTGATCCATATAGTGATGCAAGGCTTGCTGGATTGAACAATCTGACATACAATATTGTACAATGGAGTAAATGCTTGATTGTTTCTTATTCTTGGAAATACCCAATTCATGGTGTTAGTTCTAGTAAATTCTGGTGAAAGAATTGTCTCTCACTTTCACTTCTTTCCAATGCATTAACTATTTTAACCTCACCACACAGGTAAAACATTAAAGTAAAATAAAAGCACCTCTTAATTTTTCTTTTACTGTTTTACCTGCCATCTATTCCATGGTATTAGGGGTCAGTAAGCCCATATAAAAATATATTGCTAAAATAATAGATGGACTATAGTGATTCCGTTATTTTAGTTCTTTAGTTTCATTTAATAATATCTTTGATTAGGTAATGGGTATTTTTTTAAAAAAAGTTGAATCTTCAACTCTAAGGGTCCTCACACTTTATCTGACAGATCATTTGAGAGGATATAATTATATAAATTACGGTGACTCAATGGTTCATCAGACAGGTAATGTGTATCTATTTTAGTCCTCTGAAGGGTAGAGCTATTGATTTGTTTAAAATTTGAACTATTTTTATCCTGTAAGATAAGGACTAAAATATACACAAATTTGATAGGTGATTATATGATTTGACGAAATTGAAAGTTGATAATCAAAGTAGTGAAAGCATTATAGTTAATAGACTATTTCAGTAATTTATTCCGTAAATAACTCTTTTTTTTTAATAGTATGGTACTCAATATCTTTATCACTTTGAGATTAATCTGAATTCAACTCAGGTCATACATGTAGAGTTTAACTCTTACTCAAAATAAAAAATTTTTAAAAAAAGTTTGATTTAAAATTCTTTAACATAAGTGTTGATATGGTTAATTCTATAGTGTACAGTCAGTGAAATATCCATCCAATCTAGTTGTTCTACGGCCGGTTCTTTGGGCTTGGGAAGATAAAGATTGGCCGGTAATAGATGTGGCTAGGTCGGGAGTGTCTAGAGTAGTTGAAAGTGCTAAAAGTCCCTACCCTTGAACAATAAATGTGCCTTATATGGGCGGGTTTAGAGACACATAACGGGGTTCTGACAGGTTTTACACATGCAAAGTGTGGGTTCGTCGGTCAAGGAAGCTATGCCAAGTGTCTTGAGAAGACTAAAAAGATTATGGGACGTGATTTTACTACTTTAATCCGGGGGTATGCCCAGGAGGTTTGTGGGGTGAAATCCTCATTACGCCGATCGTAAGTACTGCTTTCTCGTCACACTTGACCGGGAGACCGGGAAGCGGTTCAGATGGCTCGGCGTTGTTCGTTTCTGATTGGTTTGTCTCGCATATGTCACCTATAATCCCTATCATCAAGTGTGAACCCCAAACTTAAAGGTCTTTCATTACTCTTATCCTAGAGACAAGTGGATGAGTTAAATTATGGGGTGCATCCAGTTGTTATACAATGAACCATGGTCATCAAATGAAATTGTACTTGAATTAAAATGATACTTTAGTGTTATTACAATGAAACTAGTGTGTGTGGAAAATGAAACTAAAAAACAAAGTTCATTCAATAACGTATATTGTTAAATGAAACTGTAGTATAATTAAAATAATACTTTAATGTTGTTATAATGAATTATTGTGTGTGAAAAATGAAACTAAAATTCAGTGCTCATACAATAACATATATTGTCAAATGACCCTGAAGTGTAATTAAAATAATACTTTAGAATTATCCAATATCTTTTCCCATTTACTTAATGCATAATTCGTAGTTTTATTTTCAAATAATAATAATAAGGAATAAGGTTCAAATTGGCCACTGAACGTAACCTGAAAATGCAATTAGGCCACTGAACGAAAAAAAAGTGCAATTAGGCCATTGAATACTCCAAAAACGTGCAATTAGGCCACTGAACTCTCCAAACGTATGCAATTTTACCGAATAGCAGGTTACCATCAATTTTAGCAGGTTACCTGCTTACGTGGCAGCTTAGTTGGCATTTTTAATAATTTTTAAATAATTTTTAATAATTAATTTTAACAATAAATTTTATAAAAAATTGGAAAAAATTAAATAAAAAATAAAATAAAGTCGTTTTTATTTTTTAAAAAAATTTTTTAATTAAAATTTATTATTAAAATTTATTAAAAATTAATTAAAATTTATTAAAAATGCCAACTCAGCTGCCACGTAAGCAGATAACCTGCTAAAATTGAGGGTAACCTGCTATCAGGTGAAATTGCACATTTTTGGAGTGTTCAGTGGCCTAATTGCACTTTTTTTTCGTCCAGTGGCCTAATTGCATTTTCAGGTTACGTTCAGTGGCCAATTTGAACCTTATTCCTAATAATAATAATAATAATAATAATAATAATAATAATAATAATAATAATAATAATAATAATAATAATATAATTAAACTAGTGTGTGGAAAATGAAACTAAAAAATAGAGTTCGCTTATGCAATAATGTATATATCGCCAAATGAAACTTTAGTAAAATTCAAATGATATTTTGGTATTGCTATAATGAAACTAGTATGCTTGCAGTGTGTAAAAAATGAAACTAAAAAACAGAGCAATATTGTGAAATGAAACTTAAATGTAATTAGACTGATACTTACTTCATGGTCCATTGTAAAATTTGTCAGATGTATCTCAATGAGCTTATATGTTTCAAATGTTTATACGCTTAGTACCCACAACAAGAATCGATCATCTGAACTTACAGTTACATTAACAGTCTACTTACAAATATATAATAGAAGTAACATATATTACTAGTTACTCTAAACGGATTGCAAAAACTCAACAGTTTTTTGTTAGGTTTTTTTTTTTTTTTCTTTGATAACCTAGGTATCCCAACTTTATTTGACTAATTTTTGAACCCCATGAACCTGTCCATGAGTAGATAAATTCAACATGTTCAACTTCAAAATTCAATATTAAATTATACACTTCTGCACACAAAGAACCTAAATTCTAGATTGTATGTGATATGGACGTCTCGTTAGTTTAGATTTTTTTTTTGGGGGGGGGGGGGTATTAAAGAGGGGACAATCCAACCCCTGCAAAAAAAAAAAAAAAAAAAAAAAAAACTCCTAAACTGAGAGAGGCCCAACAAATCCCTATCTAAAATAAACTAAACAGTGACAAAACACTCCCTCATAAGTTAATTAATTAATACCAATAAAATCCATGTTAACATTACCTTTAATGGTAAGATATGGATATATATAAATGGAGGATAGACATGGTCAAACCAAACATTAAATTGTGCTAACCACAACATGCGTGGTCTGGATACTGTACGTACGTTATGAGGGTAGCCACGCACGTGGACACACAGACACAGGTATAATCTTTTTACCATCCCCATTGCTGTGGCTGCTCAGATCAGTCTATACATACACAGACACACAGGATTCCATGACAGAAAAACATGAAAAATAATTTTAATTTTTTACAAAAAAAAACATTAAAAAAATAAAATAAAGAGGAAAGTCCAAGAGCAATTGATTCCTCTATGTTAGTAAAGCTGTGTCTCTTCCCCAGTGAGTGAAAGAAAATCTCAAACAAAATCAAACACTGTCCTAAGTTGTCCTTCCCCACACTACCCTTCATTGCTTACCCACCATTTTCTTGTCATTACTATTTAAGAGTGTATATTGACTAAATTATATTTTTATATATAAATCGCACTGAAAAAATCTTTTATAACGAGCTCGACTGAGAATACGCTGACAAAAATTAAACTATGCTCCTAACTTCTCAGCATTAGAATCATACACCACACAATCATGCTTTCGAGGGCCCACAATTTTTTTTTTCAAACTTGCCGTCACTATTTGATGACATACATTGACTAAAATATAAATCTCGTTAGAAAAACCTGGAACGATAGTAAGAATCATGACTTTCAAATACGATAATCATGCTCCATACACTTGATTACTCTTAGGGCCCTATTATTTTTTCGAATCTTTAACTACTATTCGAAAATGTACATTGACAAAATCTCGATTCTGTGTATAAATTGCACCAAAAAATTGTATACGACAAGCTCGATCGAAAAAATATTAAAAAAAATTAAACTTATGAATTTCAAATATCAGAATCATACTCTATACGTTTGATCAAGCTTTTGAGGGCCCACCATTTTTTCCCTTTTCCCTAACGCTGCTGTGCACAGTTTACTTAACATCTTGCACCACCTCTGTATTATTGTTGTGTTGTACAAATTTTTTATTTCTTGCCATTGTGGAAATTCCAGTACTGCCCCCTAGCTTCTTGGCTTTTACCTCTCACAGTGTCTCAGTGGCTTCTGATAGGCTACAACTTTGGTACAAAAACTACTGTTGTGGTCAGAAATGATAACAGATGGGGTGGGATAGATAGATACAGATAGATACAGATAGATATATAGATATATAGGGTATAGGGTTAGTAGTAGCTACATACATAGGTCTTCCTTGGTTCTGTTCATTATCAATCTTTGCTAAT